ATATTAGAAGTTCGGTATTCCCATGACCAATTTAACATTTACATGTACCTCCTAGGGTTGACGTCGGTTCGCTTCAGCCGACTTCGATACATCCGTAATTGTAATAATCCTCACTCACTGGTAATTGGAGAACATAAAATGACCATACGCAACATATGTACCAAGGTCCTGTTTTACAGGGCGATCTTAGCACTACAACCTCTGGTAGTCTGTGTTACAGTAGTTGCGGTGGGGTAGCCCAGTGGTTAAAGCGTTCGCTCGTCACGCCGAAGACTCGCGTTCGATTCTCCACAATGGTACAATGTGCGAAGCCCATTTCTGGTGTCCCTAGACGTGATAGTGCTGGAATAATTTGCTAAAAGCGGTGTAAAACCCAACTCACTCTCTCACTGTGTTAAAGTAAGGAAGACTAATTAAGGAACGAGGCTCACAATATACAAGTATGTTCGCATAAAAGCCTGTAATTATTGTTTATATGAATATGCATTAAACTCATAAATTAGAGAGTGTTTGTTCTGTTATTACACTTTGTTTACGTGGAGAGTATTTGGTTTATCAATGAGTTACTTGACTATGTCCCGGATTTATATTGGCGTCATGGGACTCAGCCGAGAAATATTAAATGTTTCCATTTCGAAATCCCGGACCAAGCAGGATTATTTCTACACGACATAATGAAAGGTTTGTGTTGGCCCGAGTAAACACGGATGATAACAGCTTGAGTTGGTGACTGAAAGATTAATTACGCGCCATTGTAGGGGTGTTGTTATGAATATTCACTGATTGGTATCGCACGGAGGTTGGGGCGGTCTGACACGATACCCCTGCATGGAGCCTCACGTCCCCGGATGTAATACCCATCGACGGCACGCGGGATCATCGCCGGCGTCACACACAATACGACACGTCACACGGTAACTGACACGCTTATACACTCTCCCACTGGTAGCGCTGCCTATGTTTGATTTGTGTTTGTTGTTAACGCCGTACTCAGCAGTCTTCTAGCTATTTGGCAGAGGTTTATAAGTAATCGATTTTGGCCAGACACTCCAGTGATCAACAGCATGAACATCGATCTGCACAGCTGGGATACGATGACATGTGTCAACCAGGCGAGCGAGTCTGACCACCCGATCCCATTAGTCGCCTCTTACGACAAGCATATAGGTTGCTGAAGACCAATTCTAACCTGGAGTGTGTGGGTGTGGAGGTTCCGCAGGGACAACATCTATGTGAGCGAGTCTGACCACCCGATCCCATTAGTCGCCTCTTACGACAAGCATATAGGTTGCTGAAGACCAATTCTAACCTGGAGTGTGTGGGTGTGGAGGTTCCGCAGGGACAACATCTATGTGAGTTATAGTTGGGGTCATTCAGGAGATAAACACAGTGACGTACTCTTGTGTCATAGATCACGAGTGTTTTGTACAACACTCCCACCAGTCGTGATATACTGCCCCATAAGCCCACAGCTATTTATGAACATAATAAATCTTGGTATACATACAAGAGATTTCTTGCACTAATCTTACTGTAAATACTTAATAACTCTCTCGACGACATGATGAAGGATTGCCGTCCCTTGGCCTGTCAAGGATCCGCAGATCTTCCGATTGCTATACTTGGTCTGTCACCGCACTATCCCTACTCTTCGCTTTCACGGTGGTGGCGCATACCTACAATCTCCAAAACGAGGCTCTGTTGATACTGACTGAGTTTGGCTTTACGCCGCTTTTAGCAATATTCCAGCAACATCACAGCGGGGGACACCAGAAATGGGCTTCACACGTTGTACCCATGTGGGGATTCGAACCCGGGTCTTCGGCGTGAGCTCTGTTGATAAATACGTTCAATGTGATGCTAATCTCTCTCACTTAATATCTTACATTCTGACTACCTATTTTTCTCATTATTTCACAAGGGAGACATGGTCACAAGGTTGGTTGCTTTGGTGTTTAACGTCGCACTCAGCAAATATTCCAGCTATATGGCGGCAGTCTGTAAATAATCGTGTCTGGACCAGACAATCCAGTGATCAACAGCATGAGCATCGATCTACGCAACTGGGATACTATGATATGTGTCAGCCACGTTAGCGAGCCTGACCACCTAGTCGCCTTTTACGACAAACATGGGTTGCTGAAGACCAATTCTAACCCGGATCTTCACGGATGTGGTGACAAAGTATTTTACCCATTTTATATCAGGACGTTGTATATAGTACCACGCGCGAGACTGAAACATTGCCTCTGTGTGATAACGTCACGTCACATCACCTCATAACATTTAGTCATTAGACAAAGCCCAGTTTGAAATTTTGTTTGGACTGCCACTTTGTCCGGACGTAGTGTCCCTTTAATGTTAACAGAACCAGATCGTGCTGTGCTTTCTATGAAACACCTCCATCGACTACCGCGACCCAAGGAGCGTGTGTGTATGATTGTATACCTGACGTACCTGTCGGTAAGGAGATTAGTCCTGCCACAAAGTGCCTTTGTTCCGCTGATTGTGAGAATTCTTGCAACAATGTCAGACGTCGAATGTTCGCTCATGTTCGGATCGCGCACTCATACAGTGTGTGAATAGCGAGTGATGAGAGAGGTTTCCTATGTTAACGTGTTTCAACGTACCAGCTGTTGTATTTGGCGAGTGCCATTTGTCTGGTAATACTAAACCAGGTTGGTTAGCGCCACTTTTAACAGTACCCCGGCTATATCACGGTGTTTCAACTTGATATAACAGCAAAGTCCAAAGTGGTCCGTGTCCTAATAGAAAACACACAACCGGCTGCTGATAGAGCCAGAGACTTAACATGGGCGGACCGGGATTCGAACCCCTGACTTTAGGCGTCTAGCGCATAAGACTCGCATCGCTGCAACACCAAAAACTCATATGACTGGGCTCCCACACATATAAAGAACCCGACGCTTAGTTGTATTAATGTATTTGTCCTTCTGTTATCTTCCAGTACTTAGGGGTTAGGGCGTTCAGCGCAAACATCGGCCATGTTGCAGCTGGTTCAACCAGTGACTGGAACCTGACAGGCTAGCTAAGCGAGTGAGTGAGTTAAAGGCCTTAGTATTACAACAGTATTTTAGTTACACGGGGCGTGTCAGTGTGACGGGGAGGAAACCCCCGAGTGATTCAGGTCTATATGTACCGGTTGAGTGAATTCCACAAGTACATTCACGGTGTTTACAAAAACATTTAACATGAGTTAAGCCCACGATCACATGTCTCCGGTGTGTCCAAGGGTAGCACCTTTGCACAGCAAATCGGGCGCCTACGGTGCCCAATCTAGTTTTTAGACAAACATCCTAATCACAACAAACTTATCGCTTCAATGTCCTTACTGCTTGATGGGTTCTTTGAGTTCTACTGGGATGTAGGTGTAAGTGGGACAACTCGCCATCTTCACGGAATTGTGGGACAACATTCTATGGGTGAGGTCATCGTGCCCCGACGTCTGTGTTCTGTTCATGTTATCAATCACGGCATTGTCCGGCACATATTTGCTTTCCCTGCCGCCGTGATATAGCTGAGAAAAATAGGAAAGAACAGAAACCCAAAACACCATCTTATGACAAACTGGTAATTGAGCAACTACATTTTACAGAACTCAAAATACAGGCTTTCAAAAGGAACATTTGTGTACAGGTCATGACAGGTTTATCGTACAGAGAGGTTTATCGTACAGAGATTGACCTCTTCCAAGCGACAAGCTAATGATTTACAGTGGATTTGTAATGATAATATCAACACTCCACTGTCTGGCATTTATTGACATGCGCAGTAGAAGTGTTATTTGCCCTAAGTCATAACTGTTCGTATCGCACACAACTGTCACAATATGAAGGTGTATCTACTCTCGATGGGGAGGAATAAATCCTATATCGCCTTTTTACGGCTCACGGCATATGAGCACGCCGTGCCTAATCGACTTTGTACCATTACTGATCAGGTTAGAGCGGTTTATGGGTGCTCAAGTCTTATACAGCCCCGTTTATGAATGTCGATAAAGTCATAAAGTTGCATCATGAACAAGCCTCGTGATCGAATTCACTCTCCATGAGGCTTCGTCAAGAATTAAAATGTCTGCATGCGAAGTTTGAAGTGAGCGAATTAGTGAGTTAGTCGGGTGTAAGGTCACGCTAAAGCGTTATTGATTCATAAAAGGTTTTGTTAGCTTGATGGGACAGGGCAGTTGGAAGTGTTGCACGCCATGAACATTTACCATTTTAATGAAAAACCACGAGAATCAGAGCAAATGTGGGATTCGAAACCGCGATCATATTTCCGATCAAGCGTAATGAGCGCAACTCATCAGAGCGAATTGCAAGGCTTTATATGACTCGGACATCCTTTGTCCCCGTATCAGATCCATCTGTGGTGTTCGTTATAGTAATTGTATTAATAGTTTCATTTGATAAAACAACTGCTTGTATAGTGAACACAAAGGACAACCCTATCCAGGTCTTCTAACCCAGCCACCTTATTCTGTTTTAAGGGGCTTGGTGACCAAGCATTAAATTTGGAAGGATCTCGTCTGATTTTTGTTCAGTTGATCAATCGTGTTCAATACCATAATTCCTACATGATGTACAAAGAATTTGGGGTCTTCGCTGGAATCCCCACGGAAAGGCAGACATTCGGGACTTATTCTTCCCCTTAATTGTTTGTGTTGTTTAACCCTGTAGTGAGCAATGTTCCAACCATATGGCGGCGGCCTGTATGTCTGGACCAGATCATCCAGGAATCAATCCACTTGATTGAGGTAGGATGACATTTGGTCGTCTACTGGTTGTTGACAACCTACTCTTGTCCCAAAAGTCCCACAGGAAGCATGCAAAATGCGATGAGGATCCATTTTGACCAAGAATCTCGCCATGAGTACAGAGTGAGGGAATGTTCTGTATGACTGGCGACACCCACAAACAGCAGCGCCCAGGGCCCATGCATATGCTACATACAGGTAACACAGATAAAGGGGAACTATCTCATAATATATTATGTTTTATTTAGAAATATTTCTATGATGATGTCAACATTGTTATTTCAATGTCACATTTACATTCAGGAAACGCTTTCAAGTGCCTTGATTCATGACATTAAATTACCTGTTCACATAAAAATTATAACATCGAGATGTAAAACAAACATTTCACAGCAATCAAGTGTTCTATCAAGTTTAAGTACAAATGTTCTTCACGTTTACCAAGAACACTGACAAAGATTCTGAATAAATAGTCATTATTAGGTAAGCTTTCTGTAATATGTTTTAGATTCACAAGGCAATGAGATTCTGTTCTTACAAAATCTTGTAGAGACATTTTCAGGTAACATATATTGTATGACAATGATCATGAACAGGATGATCTAAATGAGCAAAATACAAGACAATTATCTGTGTTGCAAACATTCCACTCAAAATGCATTACATTCTAGAAATCAATGTTTTGAAGCAGCATTTTTACAATCAAAACCAAAGTTTAAGAAAATCACTAACTGGAAAAACTTGAGAATAGAAAATTTGCAAATATGGTAAAAAACATAGTAAATATAACTGGGCACAACCATATTGTATAGAGTCAAGTCAAAGTGTAAATGTGTATACTGGGTATACAGATGGACAATCATGCAGCCTACACAACCATATAAAACACTTAAATACAATAAATTACTCAAACCTCATTACATATGGCATCCTTGATGGGGGACCATGTCAACAGTTCAAAAGTCATTTATATTTCTTCTCAATTTTCAAATTATATATACCAAATATGAAATAAGTATGTAAACAAGCAGTCTCACAGATTTAAACGACACCAACTTTGTCCTTCTAAGCCAGGTTTTGCAATTATATTGATTAAAACAAAACTCTGTATGAAATCATCTGTCTTACCTAAATAGTCACCTCTCTTTTTTGAACACATCAGTGTTAACAACAACACAAGACAAGACAAAACAGAAACGTAACCATGGTAACAGACAATTCTACACATCCTGCTGAAGTACACATCTCTCTACCATGCACACACAAAACACACTTCACAGTTCAGTAACTATTGCTCATACAACTCTTGCCGACTATGCTTGAAGAAAATGATAATAAACCTCCTAAAGGCTGTTCCCATTGTCTTTATATCAGTAGGGTCTCCTGCAGCTTAGGGCTATATTGTAGTCATAACAGCTTAACGTGACAGGTAAGTCTGAAGTAATGTTGTGATGCTGACAAACCTAGTCAAATAATCATGTTGAACAAGGATTCAAACCGAAGATATAAAGTTGCTAAGCTTAAGTGACGGAACACTGCACAGCGAGTAGCTATGACATGATGACTGGGGGACCATGTCCCTTAGTATACCATCCTATCTTAAACAATACTATAACATCAGGAATGAATATAGGTCCACTTGTGCCATTTGGGGAATAGAACCAGGTGTTAAGTGAAACAAACACACCACCCACTGGGCTAACAAACTGTCTGGAAGGGAGATAACCCAGGATACAGGTTTAAAGCATCTTAACAAGACTTGTTGAACTAACTGATGACAAAGACAACACAATTACTGACATGGATCTGACATACACATCAGCCATTTACATATGTCCCTACAGTATTATATACATCATGAATTTCCGTTCTATTCTACACGGTAAATATATTTCACAAGGATCGGTCTCACAAGGAAATAGTCAATGAAGATGATCTATGACATGATCAGCACCATAGCAAGCACATTCATATATACAGCATCGGGACACAGGCGGAAGAAATACAGAGACTCGATCACATGACTTGTGTCAAAGGTGTTTGCGATCCTGCTCCAACGTCAAATAATCCTGACAATGAAGTTGACACGAACCAAAACTTATGTAAGCCTTCATAAAGGGAAATGTTTCGGGGGCATCAACATTACAGTCAATAAAAATATATCTCGAAAGTCCTGCATCAATCCAAGCTCACTCTATTATCAACCAAATAAAATGCTCCAAAGGGACATAGTATTATAGGGATCAATGAGCTTGGATAGGAAAAAAACAACAAGTGTATGGCTTTTGTTTTCAACAAAAACATGAAAAATATTTTAAAAGTCCTACTGCCATTGTTAATTCTTTCATGCAGTGTTTATAATTTTGTATATGTTGTACATGTTCTCAAACCAATAATTAAGTGGATTAAATAAATGTTAAATATTATTTTGACATTGTTAATAGTATATTTAACAATGGTAACCAACCTAATTATTGATGAACATTACTTTGCTGTACAGTTTTGTGTCAAAAGCATGAAATCTAAGTGGATTGTGCCAAGGGATCTGTCACATAAACAAAGACATGGATGCCACTAGTCCAGTAGTCAGTTCAGGCGATCATCTGGGAGAAACTAGTCCTCTACACTGCCGTACTCGTGGTTAGGTCTGACCCTGTTTACACATATCTTCAAAAATATTATCTGCATCTGAATATTTTGCGGTATAAAATGAGCCACCATCTTATCTTCGAGCAATGGTGGCTGTATCACTGACATGCAGGTGAAGCTGAGATCACACAGGTTTTGCTAAATCACATGTGGATATACAATTAGAAGCTTACACCTTAGAGGTAATGACAACTTAACGCTACAAACATCAGATTGTTTACAGCAGTAAGAAAACATCATCTAACAGAAATATTTTGATATGGAGTTCAGCATCTTCCTCAGGGCCATAATAGTCTGTGTTAGTCTGTCCTCACAGTTTAACTGCACCATTTTCAAGAGTGTGATGGTACTGTAACCATGGTAACCTTGGTCCAAGAACTTGAAAGGAGAAACTACTTTCCTCCAGCTATTTATCTGATATCTCACAATGATCCCAGTCTGTAGTGTTCATGTTTCCATGATCAAATCACATTCCATGCAAACAGTTGCTTATAGTCTTCAGGTTAACAGAAACTGTCTAGAGTAATTTCCTGGAATTCACTGAGAGCTTTGATTGGTTCAATTCTTTCCTTTCGTGCACTCTTGCGGATTTTGGAGCGTAGTTCATCGGGATCTTCTCGTCTGACAAGAGGCTTCTTGGCTGGTGCCTTCATTTTCCACAGAACAATCTGAAGCAGAAGGAAGATAGTGAACAGGTGAGCCAGTGAGTTGGACTTTACTAGGCTTTTAAACATATCCCAGTACTATCAAAACAGGACACTAAGAAAGGGTTTTTCCAGATGTGGCCATTTTCAATATGGCACTCCAGTTTACTAACACTGCACATCTCTCTTCATACTGTTCACTAAGTGTAGGGTATGGCTGAAAAGTCACGATAATTTTCATATGTGGTGCTGGTTTGAGGCCAATCCAGAGTTTGTTCAGATACTGTTGTGACACTGGAATACATGCAGGCCAGACACTTTGGTGAAATGTGACCTTTGATAAATAATTATATAGGTTATGTTGCGTCAGTCTAATCCTGTTAGCAGCAAATATGTCTCCAGATTCAGCTACACTCACTGTAAGTCAGTTAGCGTCCCTACTTGGATTTCTAGACAAGCTGAACATAGCATATGGACCAACATTTCTAAATTGTGACAGGGATTTATCAAGACCTGCTCAGAGGCCATTCACTCCCAAGTTGGCAGCAAATGCCAGTAAAACTTCAAAAATTGGAATTATAAACTTCCATTTTGTGTCACATATTTAAACTAATGTTATTGCTTTGTAAAAATGACTTGTATGTCACTGACCTATCTGAGTAACATAACATTTTGTTACAAATTGCCTGCCAAAGGCACTTAATTTGGAATCCTGGTTAAGTCTCAGGATGATAAGCTCCTTTCATGTCTCACCCACAGATGTCATTGAGTGACCTTGGATACCGAACAGCTCGTTTCCTAGAACCTATAGTTAGGGGTTATCAGTCCAATCTCTTTCATCATAAGCTGCCAAGTCCCAATCTGATCACATGCACTTATATTATGTTATTGAATATTTTGATAAATCACTGGACTCTTTTCAGTTTGTTTCCAAGCGGCACACATAAGGGTGGATGAGCTTGCTTCTAACAGACATGTTTTGACATGGGAGACAAAAATATTTTCACTTGAAGCATGATCGTTACCACAAAGGTAAACAGAAATATATCATATTTCCTGGTAGAATATATATTTTCAAAATGCGACTTACTACATTGAGATACAGAATTCAAATACTTACATTCTGATTGTTCTTGGGGTACTGAAATCAAATAGAAACTGTTATTAGACAACTGACAAAGCAAACATGATCATGTGCTACGACCAATACCACTCAAGAGAAGTGGAGGATCACCCAATTCTTTAAAATTATAATAGAATATCTGACATGACAAAGTTCACTTGATTATACAGGTGGACAGTACTTGCCATAGTAACTGCCCCTTATCAATTCCTACACCTGTCTATGAAGAATCTTTAACAGTGCCAGTACTAATCTGCAATGTGCACATCACTGTTTATGTATTTTCCATATACAATAATCTTCACATAAAACAGACATAAGAAGGGAATATAATGCCCAGTAAATATTTTCAAAAACAATTGCATTTCAAACGAAGTTTGTGCCCTACCACTCAATCACTAACAAACTGAAGTTCAATATGGTATTAACATGCGCCCCCTTTGTTAACTTTTAAGCACCAAGGACACGTTATGGCAAATATGGTATAGAAAAATACAAAATGATTGCTGCTTTATACGATAGTGTTAGCTACTCTCAGAATTGAGAGGAAACATCTGTTTCCCCTGCTTGACACAGCTCATATATTTGTGGACAGTGAACAGAACTGTGTACACAATTTAGCAAAATGGGACACTCATGTCACTCTTTGCTTCTGTAGAGAATAAAATCTTCCTTTCCCACAATAAGCTACATGTACCTGCTTTTCAAATTGTCTGTATTTCTGCATTACTTCAACACCTGCTAATACAAATGTTCAAAAGACTCACCTTCGTGTGGAAGCAACATAGCACGCTTTGACAGTCAACACAACAGCGTTCATCAGATTCTTGGCAGCCTGGATGAGTGAGGTCGCGCTGTCCAGCTGGAAAAACAACAACAGGTAACTGTGTATAGTCTGGTTCAGTAGTGGGTCAGGACAATGTACTTACTTTGCTATCACACACAGAGTGAGTGAGTGAGTGAGTATGGTTTTACGCCACTTTTAGCAACATTCCAGCAATATCGTGGTAGAAGGACACCAGAAATGGGCTTCACACATTGTACCCATGTGAGGAATTGAACCCGGGTCTTCGGCATGACGAGCGAACGCTTTAACCACTAGGCTACCCTACCAACCCGAACACACAGAAGTAAAAATACTCATTGCAGCAAAATAAAAGGGAATATCTAAAGAATTCATTTCCCAGTTAATAAGAGTTAGGACACTTGAGACATACACATATGTGTATGAGAGTAACTTATAGACCAATGTTCACATTCTGGATAGGTCAGGATTAGAACCTGCAACAAATCTGACAAGGAAGGCAACTCTGCAGAGAGAGCTCCTTGTACCACTGTGCCAACATGTTCCACACAATACACATTCAATATATTACTGTACTTCTTTGGCATCACCATGCTCTTCTTTCAGAAAGAAAAACAGCAGCTTACAAACCACAGAACTGGACAGTTTGGGAGTCAGTAAGTTTGAAGTGTGAATATCTGGTTAGAAACGCAAATGTTAAATACTTCCAACTGTATCGGAGATTAAAACAAGTACATACCCCTGAGACAATCAGCTCTCCACTGACACTCTGTACGTCAGCCTTCACCTTGCTGGTGATGTTGAGTTGATGACAGTACAGGGCGATTCTCTGCATGTACGCCTCAAGGTCCTTCTTTGACTGAGAGTCGGGGCACTGAGAACACAAAACAACAACATATCACACCAGAACAACAACAACAGGCAACTTTGATATAAAACTAAACTCACTCACTCACCTTGCCTGGCATTGAGTATTTGTCATACACAACAGTAAACACTGGTCTACAAGATGGCTGTGTGTATCCTCACGTCTTCCCATCAGTATACACATATACATGACCAAAACCACACATGGACTGTGCATATATATCTGATGAAGTCATTTTTCACAGACATGGAGGTTTAATGTGTATGTATTGTAGCTGGTCTGCATTAATGTGGGGTAACATAACATACCTGGTCTGCAACTGTTCGTGACAGTTTGTCTAATCTGGATCCAGCCTCGGAGATCTTCTTGGCAGCATTGATCACATCCATGGTGCTCTTCAAGGGACCACGACCTCTGTAACAGAGTACATATATCATGAGGGTTTTACATGACACGTAATCATTGTGTATTTGTCACAACAATTTTGTAAATTACTCCCTAAATAATATCATACGAGTCATAGCTGATGCAAAAGAAATATCAAATAAGTGATCTTGAATCCATTAAAATACATTAACCCTGCACCCCATAAGATTCCTTACAACATTGGACAATATCAAAAACATGCTTTTACAGTCCCAATTTAGTGAAGACAATTCATATGAGTCCAACTCATTCAGCAGTAACAGACTGACCTGGTGAAGTCTGTCATCTCCATCATAATCATACACATTTTCTTGGCCAGGACGATGATGTCATTGCCGCTGTCGTCCCACTTGGCCACCTCCCGGTCCAGCTTGTCCTTCTCCACACGGAACATCTCCACCTCCTGCTGGATCAACTCCCTCTGCTCCTTCGGCAGACTGCGCATGAGGGCGCGGTCACTCTGGTCAATTGCCTCCTGCTCCATCACACTCGCTGCAACATGAACGTGTGGGTGAGTGAGGGGATAAACGAATGGGTGATTGAGGGAAAAAAATGGGTGATCAAGGGAAATAAACATGGGTGAGTGAATAAACATGGGTGAGTGAGGGAGATAAACATGGGTGAGTGAGGGAGATAAACATGGGTGAGTGAGAAAATAAACATGGGTGAGTGAGAAGATAAACATGGGTGAGTGAGAAATTAAACATGGGTGAGTGAGAAGATAAACATGGGTGAGTGAGAAGATAAACATGGGTGAGTGAGGAGATAACATGAGTGAGTGAAGGAGATAAACATGGGTGAGTGAGAGATAAACATAAACATGAGGAGGGGAAGATAAACATGGGTGAGAGGATAAACATGGTGTGAGGGAGATAAACATGGGTGAGTGAGAAGATAAACATGGGTGAGTGAGGGAGATAAACATGGGTGAGTGAGGGGAGATAAACATGGGTGAGTGAGGGAGATAAACATGGAGAGTGAGAGGATAAACATGGGTGAGTGAGGAAGATAAACATGGGTGAGTGGGAAGATAACACATGAGGAGAAGATAAACATGGGTGAGTGAGGGGATAAACATGGGTGAGTGGGAAGATAAACATGGGTGAGTGAGGGAGATAAACATGGGTGAGTGAGGGGATAAACATGGGTGAAGAGAGGAGGGATATAACATGGGTGAGTGAGGGATAAACATGGGTGAGTGAGGGAGATAAACATGGGTGAGTGGGAGATAAACATGGGATAAACATGGGTGAGTGAGGAGATAAACATGGGTGAGTGAGGGAGATAAACATGGGTGAGTGGGAGAAGATAAACATGGGTGAGTGAGGGAGATAAACATGGGTGAGTGAGAAGATAAACATGGGTGAGTGAGGGAGATAAACATGGGTGAGTGAGAAGATAAACATGGGTGAGTGAGGGAGATAAACATGGGTGAGTGGGAGGGAGATAAACATGGGTGAGTGGAGAAGATAAACATGGGTGAGTGAGAAAATAAACATGGGTGAGAGTGAGGAAGATAAACATGGGTGAGTGAGAAGATAAACATGGGTGAGTGAGCAAGATAAACATGAGTGAGTGAAGGAGATAAACATGGGTGAGTGAGAAAATAAACATGGGTGAGTGAGAAGATAAACATGGGTGAGTGAGAAAATACACATGGGTGAGTGAGAAAATAAACATGGGTGAGTGAGAAGATAAACATGGGTGAGTGAGGAGATAATATGAGTGAGTGAAGGAGATAAACATGAGTGAGTGAGGGGATAAACATAGTTGAGGGAGGGGATAAACATTGGTGAGTGAGGGGATAAACATGGGTGAGTGAAGGAGATAAACATGGGTGAGTGAGGGGATAAACATGGGTGAGTGAAGGAGATAAACATGGGTGAGTGAAGGAGATAAACATGGTTGAGTGAGGGAGATAAACATGGGTGAGTGAAGGAGATAAACATGGTTGAGTGAAGGAGATAAACATGGTTGAGTGAAGGAGATAAACATGGTTGAGTGAAGGAGATAAACATGGGTGAGTGGGAGATAAACATGGTTGAGTGGGAAGATAAACAAGGATGAGTGAGGGCCATAAACTAGTGACTAGAGAAGAACACATGGATGGAAGACGGAGATTAAAAGTGGGAATGAGAGAGCACACAGGTTTGGGAGAAGACAAAAGACCATTAGGGAGATAAACACGCTTTTCAGAGTAAAAGTATGTTAACTGTTAATTTGATGACACTGAATAGAAATATATTGTACAACCAAATATGCTTTAGCAGTTACTGTTTGGAGATTGTGTGGGTCTCAATAAGCTATCAGTGAAGTGGTGTTTACTTCGACACCAGGAAGTTGTTTACTCACATAGCCCTTCTTGTTCATCTTCATATTCAATTTCACTGTCAGAGTCTATTTCTGCAACCGACTGGAAAAGGAAAAAAGTTCAACATGAGATCTGCAGGACAAACCCATACACCAAGGTTACATAATATACATGGGACTCAACACATAATAATGTCCATCAAGTGAAAAAACAACAGTTCATGCTGCTCATCGATGACTCACCCTGTTCATGAGGACAGCCTGTCTGATATCCCGGACGCCATCATAAACAAGCCTGCTTGCCTCAATGAAGTCATTCTCCTCCATATCCCGATGTGGGTGAGAGCTCAGGGCATCCACCGCTACCTCAACTTTCTCCGCAAAGTTGGGCATGACTGCAGCAATAGAACAGACCACAATATGAACAAGCTACAACAGTTTTGGCAGTTTTAAAAATCTCAAACACTAGGCCTGTATTTGATCCCACTTCTTGAGAAAGAATATATTATGTCACTTCTGGATTATCTTAGCCAAATAGAATCTCCAGATTACAGCATCGCACAAAATAAGTCAGCATATATAAATAAACATACAGTGTATGCATGACATGTCAGTTTACCACTACTGGTGAAAGGGATCTTGTTACTCTAAATTGTCTTCACAATTTGTCAGAAATACAAATTGCTGCGTGCTTGAATAAGGTCTTGACAGCATCTATTGAAGTTGGGAAGTTTTAGAGGACTGAAGTTACTCACTCTGATCCCGGAGCATGATGACGGCTTCCATCACTCTCTCTGTGTATGGTCCAGGCTCGTAGTTGTCCATCTCGGCGCCAACCACGTTGCAGACACGGGCTGACCGACCTCGGATAGCGCCAGCTGTCCTGTCTAGAGTATCTGCGTCTGCCTCCTGCAGGGCGATCACACACTTGTTCACATCCTCCAAGATGTGGTTCTCTGTTCAAGGAAGAATCATCAACATTATTGCCAAAACAACAATTATATCTGAGGCCTTTGATACTGCTTATTTTGAGTAACAGACACAAATTCTCTCCCTTTTTTTTTCTCTCTCTTAATCAAAGCCCTGAGACATCCAGCAAGTCATGCATAGTGGCAATGTCATCAACAGCCTTGGTTAGCAGACAGTCTTCTGTATCCCCCAAAATTATACCCCATGACTGTGTACACCAACCTGAGACAGCCAGGAAGTCATGTATGGTGGTGATGTCGTCCACAGCCTCGGTCAGCAGACGGACTTGTTTTTCCCAGGCATCCTTGAACACTTCCATGTTCTCCTGGGCAATCTTCGACCTGGGTCTGGCAGACAACACTCGGGCTGCGTTGATCACCTGACATTCAAGATCAAGAGTCCGTACTAGCTCTAACACTACTATGCACATGCAATTCATTCATAAAATACTATTAATTTAGAAAATGAAAGATAGCAACATACAGAAACGATTAACTATAACAACACCCTGTTGTTCTCACCCAAGAAGATATTGAACCTCAACACTTCTATTGACATGCCTGTCATATACATGATATAACTGGCGAGTATTGCATGTTGATGTAAAAACAATGTTCAATCAAACAAAAAGATCCCTGTATGAAGGTATTTATCAGTTTGTCCTGAAGTCAACATCCCAATCAAAATATGCCATATCACTCAATATCTTCACTCCCGCCAGAAGAGTTCATGTCATATTGTTGGTAAAGGGGAAACATTCCAATCACGAGTTACAAACCAAACTTCAAAGCAAACATCATGGTCAGACCCTCTATACTGGTAGAATGAGTGTAGGTCACCCACCTGTGGACACAGAGCCTCTATTTCAAAGGCAGCCATTCTGACCATCTTCACACCTTCCTCGTTGTTGGACATCGAGCAGGCTAGGTTCGCCACCTAGATAATCACAAAAAGAGTTGTTAAAAATTACATCAACTCATTCATCATCCTGCTAATTCCTAAACTCTACCTGATCAATTTTATTGACAAGCTGAAACTTTACTAAATAATAGGAGTACGAAATATCAGCAACACTGAATAGATTTTCTATTCTTCACATCATTACAAGTTTTAGCAGCTATAAAAGTGCCCTGTCCTGTGATCTGATTCGCACTGTGAACCTTCTCATCTGACACTGAGTGCCTTGTGCACATGAAAAAACAGATGAACCAGCAGCATACTGTCATGGTAAGGACGACATCAGCTGGATGACTCTACATCCCCCAACTCTTGCTAAACACTTTAATGAACACTTGTGTCAAAACTTCATAATGACTCCATGAAAATCACAGTGTACTCACCTCAACTAGTTTGTTGGCATGTTCTGAGAAGACTTGTGCATATTCCTCCACTCCCTTCTCATCTCCAGCTTTGGCAGCCTCGATGAGGACAAGCAGAGGGACGTTGGTCTCCAGGAAGGTGTCCGACACATGGTCCACCACCGCCTTGCGTAGCTGGACACAAAAACACAAGTCAACATGGCTGGAACATTAGTCACCTTATCATTGATGTTGTATTACTCAAGCCTCAACTTTCAGCCAGCAGTGTGTAACATTTACTTGCATCTATGGAATATTCCAATACAGGCAAGTGATTTTGGTTATAGAAAGGTAGTTAAAACTAGTTATCATTTTACTGCATGCTGCATCATCAACATTTTCAGGTGTATATGTATGATGTAAATTTACCCAATGCGTGCTTACATAAAAGCTGAAAGATATATCGCAACTGTTCTGGCACCAATGGTAAACATGTTACCAGTAATTTACTTTTACTTTTCCCAAAGAAACAGTCTTTCATATTACATAGCAAACTGCTACATTACTCACTACCTGACTTTGTGAACACAAACAATCTTAACACCATTGTTAACACAAGGCTCATCTGAAATATCTGTGTAGTGTAACACTCTTTACCTGTCTGCGTAGATCACGAGTCTTCTGGCACATGTTGTCAATGGCCTGGTCCAGAGATTCACTGGGCTCCTTCTGACCGGCCTGAACACAACATATAAATATATCAACATCTGGACATCTTCACCTCCAACATAGAACACAGACACAACATGCCTTACTTCAAGCACACGTCACACAAGTCTAACAATACACACAACATGAACTGATCTAGACTATTTTGGAATGGTAACCAGGTTAGTTAATAATTTGGGGGAAAATGAAACATTTTATTGAAAGATGGACCTTGTTTCAACTGTAACACTGATGTAAACCTTGATTCATGACACGCACAATAAACATAAAAGCAGAATAATATGAAACAAAAATTAGCAACATAACAACATTTCTGATTTCAACCTGTTTGATTTGTCACACTGTCCATGCTTGCATGCATGTGAAGTGGTTCTGGTGAAGCTTGTCACAAACACACATCATATTATCCTGTGATAGGCAAGAACAGCAGCATCCAGCAGGATCATCTTTAAACATGATTCGTAACCAGGCCAGAATTTCTAATCCAACATGTAGTGAGTGAGTGAGTTTGGTTTTACCCCGCTTTTAGAAATATTCCAGCAATAGCACGGTGGGGGACACCAGAAATGAGCTTCACACATTGTACCCATGTGGGGAATCGAACCCGGGTCTTCAGCATGACGAGCTTATAACCATCAGGCTACCCCACCGCCCCTCCAAAATGTAGATATTATTAAAATAAGACAAGGGAATCAAATCACAGCTAAATATTCATGCCATGGGTGATTTGAAGCAGAAATCCACCCTATTCACTCAAGAACCAGATGTACACAACACGGAGAATTATTATGAATGACAACTACTTAAATCTAGATACACATTTCAGGGCAAGGTTCATCAGGTGATGCACCAGCAAGAAATAGTCCTGAAATGTTGTGAAGGGCAAGAGGTTGTGATCCACAACAATACTCTGTGTCGTTTACAGGACTAACTACTAAACTCAAGACTCTCATCCAAACCCAACTGATGAAGAAAGACAAGAAAAACAAGACAAAAATATTCACTCAAAGCAAAAATAGTAAACAAAATCATAACATTACTAAAAACTGAAAGACAACTCAGCGTTGTAGAGGACATGTTCCTGTTCTGTATTGTACCAATAAACATGATCTGTATTCTTGTCAGTGATTGGCTGAAGGAGATTGTATCAGCCATGTGGTGATCTGTATTGAGGCGAATATTTTTGCGGGAAGACCAATAAAAAATTTGTGTTCTATGATTGCCATAGTTACTGTTTCAGCAAAGCATAAACAATTTACATTTTATTTCAATACAGCTTGACATAGAAAAATCATTCGAATATTGGTAAAATAACAAAACAAATGAGTGCACATCAAAGTCTATCTACAATCTGAAATCCAGTCAAGACAAGTGGTTTAGTCAAGGTTAGGCACAGTTGTGACACAAGCCATGTCAAACAGTCTCATTCTGCAGGCGAACACCGTGTTCAGGGGAGATAACTCCAGTCATGCCAAGTTACCTTGGCAAAATGGACAAAGAGCTTGGTCTGAGTGACTTTATTTTCTGTAGCCGGTGGTTTCTTAGTGCACTGATACAACAGAATGTATAAAGGTAGAGTTGGTATGATGGTGACAGAAAGAAAACATAATTGTGGTGACCATAGTGATGAAAATGAAAAAAACAAAATTCAACAAATTTCACAAATACAAGAATTCCAAGAGATCATTTGCATCTCCTGCATCTGAAACAAATATTGTTTCATTAACAGAGCTGATTACTCAAAAACATCAAAGTACCAAAGTACCATCAACTTAACAAAACATATAGTGACACCAAATCCACAACAGTACATGAGGTCAACAGTCATAACCTTGACCTTAATATACATCCTTGACCTTGTGACACTTACATTGTTCATGTACTCTGTGAGGAGATCCTGTAGTGCCTGTCGGACAGCATTACACTCCTGTACAATCCTCTCCCTCCGCTCATCACGGGTACAGGAGGAGTCGGCCATGAGTGCCGCACCACTGATTATGCTCTCTACCCTCTCCTCCAGGGACGGACGACTTCGGACCTCGTTGTACGACAGCGGATCCATGATGATCTTTTGCTGTAACAGGAACAAGTCATTAAACTAGGGCCTATAGTTAAATGGTAAATTTAACAGTATTAATGGTAAGTAGATATTAATTCATACACTGTAACTATTGGGGGGTAATGTGTAAAATATTCAACAAACACAATAAAGGAATACAGGTACAAGCACATGTAGTCGATCTGATCTCATCAACGAGGCATAAGGAATACAATTTCAGAGAGTCAATTAAACAAAACCATATGAATTCAGATCATGCAAGCTTACTTTCTATGCTAAACAAACAGTAGGATTTGGATTAAATGACTGAACCAGACTGGTCCTTACGACCAAGCAACAGAAAGCAATTTTCCATGATCAAACACAAATGGGTTTGCCTGCTATCTTGATCTTAAAATGTAAGTGTTGCAGTAACTATTGTTTGTTTATACTGGGTGTGATCTGGAAAGATTTTTACTGATCGATTGGTTGGGATGATAAAGACATGATCCTACAAGAGATTTCCAACACCAGCAACAAAAAAGTCAACACAATGAAAGAGTTTAGCTTCCCAACTTACATCTAGTTCATCCAGAGCAGCTGCCAGTTCCCCTGGTCCTTCGTACGGATGAGCCTTGGACGGACCTGTCTCCTGGGCAACCCCTGCTATAGTGCCCACAGCATCACACAGCTGTTTGTAGGCATAGTCCCGGTTTGCTCTTGCTGCCGCCAGCTCTGGATGTCGGACATAAGCCTGGAATACAGTGACAATCCGATTAGTAGTAATCATTAAGTGAGATGCATTTAGTCAGTGCCAAAACCTTTCAAGCACTGCTCTTTGCATCCTTTCAGCAGACTTTTGTGACATAATATGGACTATCATAGCTTAGCTTCCTATTACCAAGCAGAATTTAACAAAACTTCAGACTTGTGACCAAAGTCACAGACTGTGCATTGCTCACGTATACCTTTACTGTTTTCATAATTTCAAATTACCACCATGCAATTCCTTTTTCAGCAATATAAGAATCAGAATGAACTGAATTAATTAAATGCCAAAGGCAACAATATTTCAACTTTATCAAGGCAGTCTGTAAACAAATGCCTTGGCCGTGCTGACAGGTGACTGGCCGATACACTCCCTCATCTCAGCTACTCCTGACCTGGGTGCCGCTCCTCAAAGCGATCATAGCGCTACGACTGTCGTAAGTCTATGTTAAAGTATGGGAGTTACGATCATCTTAGCCCTACGAGGAACTTTGAGGAACAGGGCCCTGGTCACACGACACTCTACCTGTTAACCATCCTTACTGTAGTAATTGTAACACCTACCTTGGATGTGGTAAGCAGCATCATGCTGTTTTTCTTCAGAACAGCCCTTGCAGCTGCAAGGTCGTCACGTCGACGGGGATCTTTTAGGTCCTGCAAAACAAATGTTACGGGACTGAAAAAGGATCCAAAACCAAAAAGAATGCAATCATGCACAGTGAATTTCTGCATCCTACACCAAAGGGCCACCCTTGCCCCGAGATATTTCAGTCAAAACAATTATCAGCTTAATGCTGCAAAAAAATCCTCAATGCAGTGTTGTCCTATATGTAAATCATCTTAGACAAATATCATAGCAAGTTCACATATGGTCCTTACAGCTAAAAGAGCATAATGAAGTCAAAATCTGGTATTTAACCATAACAAGTGGATCCTGGTGCAACTAAGGGAGACAATTTTGCACACCGCGTACCTGTGTCCCCTGAAGAAAGAAGACAACATGGTATCAACTCACAGCTTGTCTCTTTGCAGCTTTCTCAGACAGCTCATTCACGCTCTTGGTGAACTCCTTGAAACTATCCATCAGCTCCTGCTGACTAGTGGCGTTCTTGATGCGGTCAAGGTCGTCCTCCACCTGTACATTGCAACAAGATTTTAACGTCACGCCACGTGTTGGTGTCTGGATTAGTAAATAAGCTACGACCACATTTTAACACAATCTTTTGAAACGAGCTTCTTCAAGAATATTTCCGCAATCTAGTTTGCATGACAACAAATGAGCACTTGTCACACCTTTTCATCTTTAAAATTGAGAAGGCAAAAAGCAACGATTTCAAAACATGATGAAAAGGTTTTGACATATATTTCAAGCTATATATTCAGATTCTAACTGCACTGCACATTAGTGAGGACATAGTACTGATTAAAACCATGGTTTGTAAAGATGTAGTAACATCAACAATAGGCATGAGAAGGCTTATATTGGTAGCCATTATCGTAGGTATATTTCAAAACAGCTTTTAACAGTATTTCAGTTTTCAAGCAGTGTCAGTTTGATATGGGAAGAAAGTCTGAAATGACAGAGGTCAAACCTAGAAACATACTGAGGAATAACATGCGATATTAAACAACAATCATAGGTTTCAGGCAAGCATAAGGGGGACAACTTTGCAGAAAAAATTTTGGTGTCTGAGACAACTGGGCCTGCAGTGTTCTCTAGTCCACATTACAGAAGAGTTTGCGGTGTTTGCGGACTCACCGAGTGGAGAGACTTGAGGAGGAGATGGACATCTACCATGTCGGCCAGGATGAGGAGGCGCGTGACGGCTGACAGAAGACCTCGAGCAGCTCTCACCATAGCCCCACGCTTCATGGATGAACATGGGTCTCCAGCAAACTCACGTGAGGCCTCCCCCATAGCTTCACCTACAACACCACACACAACATAGATAATTCCCTAATGTGGAGCAACATATAGTAATCATAATAGCTGCCATTTTCAGCCTTGTCAAGTTCATAAACGAAAGCTAGTGCTGATATCAATCAGCAAAGTACAATCCATTCCACTGCCTCCTCTTAATTATGTTAATGTCACCAGATCAAAAAATAACCAGCATGCTTGACATTTGAAGGAGTAATAACAAAATCTACCACAAACCATGATACAAGGATATGTGCTAGGATCTACATATCTATGTCAATCAGGGATGCCATGTATTCTCTTCATCAATTCATAAATGGCATTCAGTACATCTTCAGACAATTTCTAATGACAGAGTTCCTGGATCTCTCAGAGGCATGCATACACTCCAAACTCAATAACATGCCACTGACTTGAGCTGTAACCATGGGAACTAATGTTAAGACAGGACAGACCTGTGTTTTTAACTTCTTCTATTGCTGCCATCATGTCAGCATGGACCTCTGGGTTCTCCCTGGCAATCTCCTCTCCCCGCTCGATGAAGTGTTCGGTGGCTTTCTGAACAGTGGCACTGAGGACATGTGCCTTCTTGGATCTTCCCTTCTTCTTACTGGAGGGGCCATTCTGGTTCACTAATGTTGTCACCTGAACAGATGGAGATCAGCAATAATAACTTACTTCAACATCTGTCATGTACAATGTCTACTGACAGATCATGCTAGTAGGACTCACGGTATTACCAGAATAGCAATATATCACAATACAATTTAATAGCCAAGACACAGACCTAATGCTAGGTATCAGCAAACCAAATACAGTTAACATTCAAATCTATGACAATAATAAAATGTTTTTACAAATCAATTAGCTTAAGCTGATAAGGACATATACAACACAGGCATCTTTTAGACATTGTGACAGTAGGAATAAGTTTCCAATCTAAAACTAATACACAGTCATGGTAATATCAGCATGATCAGTCAGCTGTGTATGAAAATCTTGTCCATATCATGTCCACATTGCAAATAGTGCAGTGGCTGAACATCAATGTCTCCTCCATTCTTACTTGGGTGACAAGTGGTTCCAGGGTCTTCTCCACCGATTTTGTGCGGATTTCTAGATTCTTGGGGTCCCACTTGAGCTGCAGGCTCCCTGGAGGAGGACTGGTGGTCATCGTGCTGCAACAGTAACAACTGTAACATCATCATCGTCGTGGTGGAGGGAAGACCTTATAACAACTTTAGTTCCATTCCACCCTCACTTATCCAAAATATACTATCATGATTATAATCATTTGTAATAGATTAAGAGATGGTCTTTTAAGTTTGTTTTCAACATGTTTAAGATGCAGAAGTCAGATATGATGGTCTGATACTCAAATGATAATTAAGAAAACCTGTCACTGATCATGCTGATTACAAAGTTCACCTGGTGCTACTTTCAATGTCAAGGGAGTCAAATTTGTTCACACAAGTACTGCATCTGTGTAAGATAACTTTTTAATGGAGCTGGATACAGCCTATACCTTCCACAGGAGATACCACTACAATGACAATGCATCACCATGCTATGCAGGCCACTGTGTATAACCATGATATCACAATCAAAGGATATCATCTATCTCCCTGCCACTGAATAAGCTGGAGATATATCCAATAAACATGATAAATCATGTAAATGAGGTCCTTTGGAAACATGCAAACCCATTCAAATGTAAAACAAGACCTTCTATATGTTCAGCTTGTTTTCAACAACTATTCAGCTTGTTTTTGCAACAACTATTCAGCAAGTCTAATAACCATGTTAACAATCAATGAACTCATCTTTTAACCAACATCCCCAGAGAAAGGCTTTCTTAACCATGTTAACCAACACTAATAACCATGTTAACCAACACTAATAACCATGTTAACCAACACTAATAACATGTTAACCAACACTAATAACCATGTTAACCAAAACACCATGAAGCGACAATACAGCAGTATTTTATTTATTCATTAGTTTTATTTACCAGTACATCATTAAGCGATAATACTGTTTAGAAAAAGTTGTGTATCAATACACCATTAGTCAATCGTCAGAATTCAGATAGACTGATATAGGGATCAAACTTAAATGTTATCTGTTTGTTTTCATGCATCAGTGAATCATCCCTGATTAGCCCTAGTCAACTGTCAATGAACCTGATCAATACTATTTACAGTTTTAAGATAATACTGTAGCTTGTTTCGAGTAAGAATCACAGGGTTCAGTGAATCATCCCAGCATCAACTGCCATGTATGATAAACTATTTCAGTTTGTGATATCAAAATGCACATCATTGCCATTGATAAACTGTATGATATCAAGCAATTTGTATACTTACACTGTTGTTGTGGTTTTATGTTTTATCAAGCATTTGAGTTGTGAACATCAAACAGGATATGTATACATGATGGGTTGTAGAAACATGCAGTACAATTGTCATGATCATGAAAATTATGAAGCCATGAGAACAGACTACATTTGAAATGATTATGGAACAAGCAGATGCTGACACAAAGAAAGATGGAAGAAGCCAGTGTTGTTTATTTATGTGATGTGTACACACTGATCATGTTAGATTCCTCTGTTGAAACTGCATTGGTGTCTCCTTGTGTAGTGACTGTCTGTATGATTTCGTCTTTGAAGTTCATGAAGGTGATAATGGTGTCAGTGGTATGGGTTCGCTAAGGCAGGATAGAAGAGGATAGAAGATGTACTCAGACTATCTGTGTTCCTTGATCAGTACAGATATCTGACCTGTGTATGTATTGCTGAGTACAGCTGGTCTGTACCTTTCATCATGTTCAGTTTCATGGTGACACCACTTCATGGTGTGTTTTCTGTTTCTTGGAGCTTTACTTTTTATTCGCATAGGGATAGCATGTAAGATAGCATCAATATCCCCCAGTGCTTTATGAGTCTTCTTACTTTGGGTTGCTATTTGTTATTATTGTTGGTTAACATGGTTATTAGTGTTGGTTAACATTGTTATTAGTATGTTACAGTACTTATTTAGAGAAAAATATGCATGTATGATGGAGTTACTTGTTTATTTTTCACAATAATGTTATTTTTAAACACAAATACCTTGAAATAAATCATTTTAAATCTGGATACCGTGTCATTCTTTCAAGGTGTATGTATCGTGATACGTATGGTATCGCAGGTAACATATTGCGATATGTATCGTATCGTGACATAGTGTATCGTCCCAGCCCTACGTTTTACTGTTTGGCAAATAAACATGATCAGTGTTGCCAATTTCATTACTGGATGTTTGATCACGTTAATTGCGTGGATTGATATCAATTTAACATGGTACTGTAATGAAAGAATATGATTCATAGCCATGATTACCTGACATGATGTAACAAATGTATACTTGAGATAACTCTTTGCTATCAAGTACAAATTCTAGTACAGCAGAGTGCAGCATCTAAACAACAGGGCACAAAGCTTGCAATCTGACCCAGTCAGCCATCAAGTTTGATAACTGTTAGTCTAGATCATGTAGTCTGTGTACCTGTCAGATCAGTGTAAAATGACATGGCTATGCTTTTCAGAAAGTGGTCGTATGTAACAAACATTGTATTTTGGATTACACTTTGAGACATGATGTCATCAACATGACTAAGGTCAAGTGTGAAAGATGTTTGTTTTAGGCTTGCCATTATATCACTAGATCTATAAGTAGACTACAGTAAACCAATCAAGTGAAGCTGCCCTTGGATTGGCTTCTATAATCATGATAATTCCTCACATTTATCATTAGTTGCTCTGGTGTACCAAACCTATAATTTTTATATAAGAAATATTCTATGCTTTATCTAACTTATTAATTGACATCATTTGTGTGCACCTACACAACATACTGTTATCAGGGCATTAGTTTTAGGTTCTTGGGCTGAACTTTAGATGTCAACATAGGTAACATATCAATATTGTATATGAAAATCATAATATTTTCGGTGTTCAGAGATCATGCAGATCAACTGTTTCACATAAACATGGGTTCAGGTCCTCGTACTGTACAGACTGATCTTGGTGCAATAAATCTTTTCTGAGACTTCCTGATCACGTGTGTCCTCACAATTAAGCCACGAAATAATAAACATATTCTACTTTCTTATATGGTATGAGTCTGTCAGTACTAATGAGACATGGGGACCGAGACACATGTATGCCATCATGGATAATGAAAATGCACGTCCATGTGTATTGCGTTAAAATCAACGCTGCCAAGATTGTATCAAGCCGAATTTATAGGAAAATGACAAGTGTTTGTGCGAGGCTTTTGTTACGGAATCTTCAACCTCATTCACCATAATTCCAGCCTTATATTCTCATCGGTTTCGTTTGCACACAATTCGATAACTTACCTTGGTTATGGCGTCAATGTATATCCGATCTGAGTCCAAATAACTGTGTAATATGTCATCAAAATAAAGGTGTTCAAATACCTGACGATGAGTAACAGGGTACTTCCGCCAGTTGAGTTATCGTGCTTACTCCCTCGGTAACAAAATTTTGTTTTCAGTTAATTATATTGCTGATAATTGTCGTTTTTCTGTTTTTAACATAAATATTCCTGACTATATGAACATTCAATGGTGCTGATGGCATCTGCTATAAATCTTTATTTTCAGATATAACGTATTTCTTTGAATTTACGTGGGAGGCGGAACAGCCACACCGAGGAATGTTTAATCACGTGACCGTAATGGAATTTTCTAAGGGAGGCAATCAGTACATGACGTACATTTTTAAAATATTAAATGTTTGACAGCGAAGGAGGCGTTCGAATCCTGGAAATATTTGCTGCCTTTTATCATACACCGTCGCACTTAGCAATATTCATGCCATGTAACATAAACCAGTGGCTGATATTATGAGCCCCCCACCACAAAATTGAACCAGCTCATGAACAATTTTCACACTCATGGGTTCGAATTCCATGTTTTCCTTGACATAATGCTTCACACTTGTCAGCATTAAACCAGTGCTTGTGGCTTTTTACCAAACATCGATTAATACCTCATGATTCTCTTCCGCCGCGTTATATAAACACATGATTGGCAGCAGTGAACGGGCTGGACACATCGGTGAATAGCTAATTAAGTATCATAATGAATTCTGTTTCATTAATTTAACGAACACCTGTGTAACCACCCTAATTTGATTATATTGAACTGGTTCCAAAATGGAATAGTACACATTAAGGATATTTGTAATGACCATGATTTCCTTACATTTTCAGAACTTAAAGGAAAATTTGATATTAGGGGTACGATACTTGACCTAAATTGTGTTCTTCTCAGTATTCCAAAAGAATGGAATCCAAATAAATCAAAATTGTTCCAAATTGATTGAGCAACCCCAGTAAAGGCTCAAGATTATTTCATGATAATTTCATATCTGAAAATAATTTTCCCAAAGTCTGTCATAAATGGGACAGCAAATTGAGTGATAATTTAAATTGGAAGACTATATTTCTACAATATAGACAATCTAACAAAGACACAAAACTCCTAGACTTTCAATATAAATTTATATGTAAAGCCATTTATTCAAAGAGGGAGTTGCTTAAAATGAAACTGGTTGATAATGATTTATGTTCATCGTGTGGTTCGGTAAGTGAGAACATCTATCATGCATATATTGAATGTCCAACTATATAGTCTACTATTCCCAGCACATAATGTAATTGAATATGTAAGTGTGCCTTTCTATGCATGTTGTCTCCCACTTTAAGGCTTACAAAATTGATGTTTGTATCCAACTGAAGTCAATAAAAAAACAAATAAACAAAAACACAAGATAAATTGTGTCCAGGGACACGGATGCCCCCGCTGACATACATAAGACATGTGAAGATCAACAATTGAACAAAATTCACGAACAAGTTCAATAAACATCTATGCAACTATGAGATGCACACCTTTCGAGTCCCAATGAAACACATGTATAAGCTTAATCAATTCTGTTGAGCAGTTTTTGTGGAGAAGTGGATAGACTTAATCCCCTATTTCACTATCATCAGAGAGAAATTCAGCAAAATGTACCTAAGTTCAAATGTCTCTAAACTTACAAAAAAACAATTAAAAAAACAAAACAAAATATGAGATGCACACCATTAGAGTCCCAAGAAAGTCCATGTATAAGTTCATTGAATTCCACAGAGCGTTTTTTGTGGAGAAGTGGATAGAGTACATTCCCTATTTCGTACGGACGGACACGGAGGGTAACCCTATATGCCCCCAGCCATATATGGCGGGGGCATAAAAAATATAACGAACGGCGGAGTACTTTTGTAAATACCGCTAAAATATGGTGGTAACTGTTCGGTAGCCAGCATACTGGAGTCCTTGTGTTGTTTTTGATGAATACAAACTAATAAAGAATCTCACTCAAGTGTCTTTTGGTATCAAATACATAAACACGTGTCAATGAAAGTCTAAACTCCACGCCATACATCATTATTCTTTACACCTGTTCAGTGTGTAAACATTTACGACCAAAGTCTTGAGTGTAAAAAGTACAGCTGACTAACTTCAGAGATATTAGTGATGTTGTTGTGACATTGTTGCTATAACGTCACAATGACATAGCAATGATCTGCATATTAATGTGTTAAACATGAAACTGCAAATCTTCAGTAGTTTCAGTCTGTGGAAGACTGACTTATTAACTGCAACTTTGTGTACAACACAACTCCTTGATAGGCCAGTCAAGCAAGGAGCCTGTACAAACGGTATGCTACATACCACCATGTCTCACCTGTGGTATGATCTGTAACAGCATGATGGACATGTGGTTTGGAACATAAAACTATATTTCACACACGGTCGATATATATCAATATCTATGGAACATCAATGCTCACCCATGGTATAACAGATAACTCCATAACAGATGTATACCGATAGTAAACTATGTAGCATGAAATCACACACATGGTATGATATAAAACACATTTTGGATATATGGTAACATAATTATACCATATCTGACCCATTGTGTGATATATAACACCATATCAGATTATGGGATCAATCTAATATGATGTATATTGCCATCTGATATGAAACAAATATAAATGTCAAACTGTTTGAATAACAGGGGCTCATTGAAGCTGGAGGTTCCTCACTCCTGTGTCCTATGATGTTAACAAATATGAAGTAAACTGCAGACACAAGAAAAACTAGCAAAATGTAGAAATGGTTTATTGGTATAGCATCAGAATCTGAATCCTGAGTCGTTCCACTACCACCAGGCTTGGGTAATAACTTCAACATAACTGTACACTCAAGTACATAGCACTTACAAGGATGAGAAAACATGTGAAAGTAACATTTTCAATGTGAGTCCCGAAGGACATGCTCAGTTGGGTATAATTCATCAAGCACTAATGTGTAAAGATGATGTGGGCTACATCATATACAAGACTGAAATATAAACAATAACAAACAAAATTCCAATGCTGATTAGATCATGACACTGTTCAGAGGGATGAAAATATAAAACAAGGAGCACAAATATCTTCATATGACTGCTGTTTATCACAGATCAAGAAATTCATGACAATGTTTTTATTGGTCCATTTTGTTTCTTAGCATGATCTGTGTGATAGCCACCTTGCTACTGTCTGTCTCATATTGTAGGAATTGCCATAGGAAGTCTCTGATGGCATCATGCCCGTGTCAGTCTTATCACAATTGTCTTGAAACACTGCTTATTGAATTTTACTTTTGGTCATGTGGCCATAAATACTGAATAAAGCTCTTCTTCTAGAAACACTGTGCTTGCAAATTTGCCATATAAACTACTGTATAGCATAATCTGTGTCTTGGTATCAAATCATGAAAACACCTAAGTTCCATGTTCCGAAATACAATCAGCACTATGTTTTTTCATTTCATTCCCCAAACAGGACTGAATGACACATGAGGAAGATTTTCGAGGAATGGACTGAAAGTCACTGGATCTCTTACAGATGCTGAAAACTATATGGCTCTCAATGGCCCCCAGTTTTATCCTGTTTCACTGGCAGAACAAAAGTAACTGCTGGCATGAATACTGCAACATGGTCCCAGTGGCTTTCAGTTTCAGAGTTCAAATATAACATTCTGTTGTAGTCTTTGGTAATGAAATACACATCTGTATTGGTCCCAGAGTGCTTCATACTGTTACTGCTCTGGAACTGCTAAGACTCCATGGAAGTTGACGTCTGCTCATCTCCGTCTGCTGTTTGTCTCCTCTGCTGCAGAATGTAACCGATCTTAACCAAGCGGCTCAACCTCTCAACCAACTTCTTCTGTGGCTCACCTAAATTAAAAAACAAACCATGAACCTTTGTCTATCAAATTAACAATCATTCCATTCAAACAAAAGTGTCCTTTGAAAAGAAATCACAACTAAGCACAGTTGACTGATATTTCATATGTAAGAATATGATTGATCGGTTATGGTCAACAAAGTGACATGGCCTCTTCGGCTCAGCTTTTTTTAAATGTTACTAACTAGCAGGAGGTTCCCATATGTAGAGAGTGAGAGAGTTTAGTTTTACGCTGCTTTTAGAAATATTCCAGCTATATCACGGCGGGGGACACCAGAAATGGGCTTCACACATTGTACCCATGTGGGAAATTGAACCCAGGTCTTCGGCGTGATGAGCAAATTCTTTAACCACAAGGCTACCCCATCGCCCTCCATATGTAGAGACAATCCACTGTAACTGACATCACACACACTGACACACAAAACTGTTATCATGGTTACAATTAGTCAAATAATATGCTAAACAAAAAAGAGTTTGTAACTAGTCCTGCTTGAACACAACTAAAGTGTTTACTGCATTAATATTTTATGCCAATTTTGTTCAGTTCAAATATCAGAATTGAGAACTGGTTCAGAATAATACCATCAAATGGTATAGTCTAAGGTTTAGTGGTTTCGGGCTAGCAGACCAGTGATTTTGAAGGCTACATACCCTTGAAATGTGTGTGGAGAGATGGGTCCAGCTTCAGCTTGAACTGGAGTCTGTTGTCTGCAACCACAAGTCCATCCACCTGTACCTTCTCCAAGACATGCTTCATCTCCTCCACAGCATGTTCCGTCAGCCCCTCCATTTCAGCTTCACTTTTGTCACCAGCAATATGTTCCTTTGTAGCACACTCTGAAGGACTCACAGTTTCAGCAGAAATATGATCATATTTACCACCAGTTGAAAACTTTGGAGATTTAGCAGTTGTCTCTACAGGAATATGTTGATGATTATCAGTTTCAGAAAACTTGGGAGATTTGTCAGTTTCTGGAAACATTGCTCCTTCTACAGGACGACTTCGATTGTTATCACATACAGAAAACTCTGGAGATTCAGCAGCCACAGTTACATTCTTACTTGGAGCTTTGGAGCTTGGATGAGATGATGTAACACTGAGTTCATTAGTCATACATTCCATCTCTGGCATTATTGTTTTCTTTCTTTTAACCCGTTTGTGAATAGACTGACTTCTTTTCCTCTTCTTACTTTTCCTCTCTACAGCATTCTCTGACACCTTACTGCTTACATCTACAGCATTACTTGGCTCCACACTGCTTACATCTACAGCAGCATCTGGCTCCACACTGCCTCCATGGCACAAATCTGTCCCCCTCAGTCTCACCTTGAAAACATCTACTGTTTCCAGAGTTGGTTTCCTCAATTCCCTCTGAAGTCTGAAGTTGATAGCAAGTATCATCCATCATCAAGTCTGTATCCACATTTCGTCTTGCATCTAACCCTAACTCAGCTGCCTTGTCCTCAGGCCCTTGATGATGATGAGAAGGATTTCTTTCTTCAGGATCTTGAAGAGAAGTATTTCTTTGTTCAGACTCTTGATGAAGAAAAAGACCTCTTTCCTGTGAATCTTGATGATGGAGAAGATCTCTTTCAAGAACTTCTTCAGTTGACATCTGGGCATCCTCCATTTGCGCATACACTTTCCTTCATCTTCTGAACACTCACGTTGTTCCTCTGGCACAGATGAAGACTTCTCTACAGTTTGGTTTGGATTCAAACTTTTCAGTTGCAAGTCAAGCTCTGTACAGATTTCTATATCATATTCAATACTACTGCTAGAAAATCCTGGTGACCTGCTATCTCCTCCATGGGGCCGACCACATGAGCTTGAATGATCAGTATCAGAAGCAGACAATCTTTCATCATGGCTACACGCGCTACAACAGTCAGAATGTGAGCTCTTGTCAGAATGGCACTTTGCCAATTTATCATCGGGATTACACATATTTGGGTGGTTACGTCTGTTGGGATCTTTCAGATCTCCAGGGTCTGGCATTACTGTATGACTGGAGCCTCCACTGCCTGTGTAATTATTAGCTTGTGGATCAGTTCTTGCTGGAGAGCCATCTGAACAAGCTGACTCAAATATATCGGAACCCATGGCCTCATCTTCATCAGAGATGATAGTGTTTTTACACTTTGACCGCAACAATGGTGAACCCTCTTCTGCATCACCAACAGAGACCTCATGTTCAGTGAAGATGTCACTTTCTGTTTCCTGCAACAGAGGTGAGGTCTCTTCTGTATCACAAACAGAGGACCTATCATCTGGGAAGATTTCAGTGTTATTCCATTTTGCCTGCAACAATGGTGAAGTCTCTTCTGTATCACAAACATAGGACTCATCTTCAGGAAAGATGTGACTGTTACTTAGTGTTTCAGGCAAAATAGGTGAAGAATCTTCTTTTGAATCAGAACCCATGTCTTCATCTTCAGCGGAGATGCTACTGTTAGCATTACTCTGTGTTTCTGGCAGCAATGGTGAAGATTCTTTTGCATCAGCATCAGTGGCTTCATCATTAGCAATGTTGGATCTTCCATCAGCAGATCCTGATTCATTGCAGGGCTGATTGTCAACAGTCACTGATTGTACTTTGCAACTACCACCATCAGTCCCAGCGTCTTTACCATCTCCATCCTCATCGATGGCTTCAGCAACACTGGCCAGTACTGACAAGGAACTGGGAGAGTTTGACTTGTCCAAATTACACCGAGTTACAAGTTTCTTGTAGATAATGGCGATAACTGGACTTTTATTTGGTGAGCTTACTGACAGTCTTGTTGGTGTAGAAAATGGAGTGTCCATTGATTTAATAGGGGACATACTAGATGGATCTGTTTCATTTGTTTCAGTGGACTGAGACACATAAACACACATACCCTGAGCTTCTAAAACTCCAGATGTATCTGGTTTGTATTCTTCAACAACTAAAGACGTCACTCGGGACGCCTGCTCTGTTTTTGATTTCATGTTTTTGACACCCTCAGCAGATAAAGGTTCAGAATTATCTTCTCCACAAACACTGGAATTCTGGCTCTGATTTAAAGACATTGTGGGACCAACAGTACACGATTCAGACTTCCCTTCTGATCTACCCGAGTCAACACTCTTTTGGGAACATGCTGAATCAGGGCTGATGGTTTTCGGTTTCTCTTTCTCTGCCTTTTCAGGAGATACCACCAACAGACAGTCCTTCAGCTCATCCATAGGACCCAGTGCAGTACATTCATAATGTTCCCCATCCTCACTCTGGAACACTACGACATCACCTCCAGGTTTGGTCACTTCATGCATTTTGTTTGGGGACAAGAAACATTTTCTCCTTGGTGACCCAATAGGAGAGTCTTGGAAGAAGTCGACAGGCATGGACAGAAGTTTATCCTGTCCATCTGATAATTCAGATTCCGGCCTGCTGGGATTGTTATTGGAAAGGGCGGGAGTTGGCTCTACAGTCTTAATGTCTTTGCACACAGTGCCTACATTTGTTGTCACAGCATCAAGTCCTGGCACAGATTGAGGTTGAGTTGTCTGTTCAGACGTCAGTTGTTGCAGGATTGAACATTGCTCAATAGATGTAGATTGGAAACCCTGGTGACAAGATGAACCATTTGTATTACTCAATCCAGAATTGTCTATATCACTGGTATATTCACTCTTAGATGCCACCTCTCTGATCTCCTCAGCAGCAATACTAAGAATATCAATTTTGTTCTGTGAAGCAGTTGGTTGTTTCATGACTCTAAACACAAGTCCACTTTCACTTTTATAATCTGTAAAATTCACATTCTCCTTTACAAAATAATTACCTCCTGGAATCTGTGACCTCTCACCACAGAAAACAGAATTGGGTGGCACTATTGGACTCCTTTCTACTGAGTTACTTTGTGTCAATCCTGACACACACTGAATGCCTGGTACAGGATCAGAGGGTCTCGTTGAAGTGGTCGTATTTCCAACAATCATTATCTGACCAGAACCATCAAAGTTCACACACATCTGTTTGGTCTTATTTTGAGCAACAGTTTGAGTCTGACTAAGATTCCCAACATTTGCCACATCTCCTCCACTAACTATCGTCTGACCAACACTTGCATTCACGTTCAAACCCGTCTGGTCGTCTGTTCTGGTCCTATTTTGAGCAACAGTCTGAGTCTGACAAAGGTTCCCAACAATTTTCACACTACCACCAACAACTCTCTGACCATCACTTGCATCCAACCTTAAACCTCTCTGGTCGTGTACTCTCATGCTAGTTTGACCTGCAGTTTGAGGTAGACAGAGGTTCCCCACAGTTTTCCCATCTCTACAAACAAGTATTTGACCTCTAGCTGCATCCACTTTGACAACAGTCTTGCCTGGTGGTGCTTTCCTGACGTTATTTGCACTTGAGTTGGTTGTACTAACTTGGCTGTTGTGTACTTCATGTGAAGGAAGAACCCTTTTAGGTTCTGTCAGAGACTTTTCTGTCTCACCACCTCTGGCATCATATGGAAATTCTTCAACATATTTTCCTTGGGCTATCAAAGCAAGAATCTTGTTCTTCTCTAGATATTGTGTGTTGTTCATCTGACCCACTGAAAAACAAGCAATACATCTCAAATTCTGCACAGAACACCAAACCCTCCCATTTACAAGTTCTTGGGGGTATGCCAGTTTTTGGAAGAAATGACACACCTTCACTGGAGCCTCCATGAAGCAAAGATCCAGGCTTTTCACAAGGCTTACAAAATTCTCCCAGGGGAACTGGTAAAGATGTACCAGGAGGTGACGACAGCTAACATATGTCACTTCACCTTTCGAGAAGGCTGCCACATTTTTCTCACCAACCTTTATGTGTCCCATTATCACGGTCTGCAGTTTCCCATCTTCTCGGACAACAAAGGACGTCTGCTCCACCTTCTGCGTCTTGATTGCATAATTGTTGACAGTGGGCATCTGAGATTGTGGAACACTTGGTGACTCATTTGCTTGAAAGCATATGTCACATTCGTACCTTTGAGTTGTTGCTTCAATTGGTCTCTGTTCCACTCGTAAACACAGAGGACAGACATAATCTTGAGTCGGATTCAACATGGCAACTTTGCGACATGAATGTCCAAGTGTTAGACTGTACCAAGGACATTGTGAGACTGCAGTGTTAAATGCATCCTGTTGCAGAGCAGCCTGAGTTCTGTATATCCACCTCAAGTCATCTAGTGATACTAACCGTGCATTCCTGGAATCTTTCACTCTTCCTTTTTGCTTGAGGAATTCCACTTCTGTCCGAGCCAATGGAAGCAATCTTGACTGACTTCGCAACAGAGAAGAGAACTTTGTGAAGTTGTGTATCATATTTTTGGATTTCAGTTCAGAAACACTGACATACATTTTACCATTTCTTACAAATGTTACCAACTCATGTTCCTGTATTAATACAGAGCCTACATGAGGAAGCCTTACTGGGAATCCTTGAAAAGAGATAGTACATGCTCTAGCCATATCATCAGTGAATGAGGATATCTGACAGTCACAGTAAGGCTTCAGCACCTCTTCTTGCCACGGTACTTCTTTTGTCTCAATCCTCTGAGCAATATCCATCTGAGGCAGCCCAACCCTTCCCAAGTCATCACCACCAGCTGTATGTCCCACTGGTTCTAGGACAACCTGGTCAGCTCCTTGTTTCCTCACTGGCTGCTGCTGATGTGGCATGGACGAAGCTGCTCGGGTCTCACTATCTCCATGTCTTTGTGGCTTCTGCAATTCATCTGTTTTCATATCTAAATTTATGACCACAGAATCACCTGTGTGATCATCTCGAATGTGACTACCACACTCATTACCAGACAGTGGTGGAGGAGGTCGCTCCTCTGTAAGTGCCGTCCTATTTCCACAGTGACTGTTCATATGTACTTGTTCACTGTTATGAAATGTGCTTAGGCAAATAGTACTTGATCCACTCCCTGCTTTACCATGGCGATCATCTGGATTGTGAATGTTAGCTGTACTGTTCACAGATTTCACACAGTCTCTGTTCGTAAGTGGCAGTTTTGAGGTCTGAGGTACACGTGACAGATCTGTCCCAGGGACCGGTACTTTATACTGGGAGTAGCGACGGCGCTTTAGTTTAGATTGTACAACTTGATGGTCATTTAATTTCAGCATGAATGTATTGCTATCGACATTATCTGGCGCCAGTGATGTGGTCGGAGTTATATGGCTGACCAACACACAGTGTTCCATGAGGGTGTTCTGAAGATTCTGATGGGGTACTTTAAAATGCTCATTCCTGATCTTCAAGGGCACTCCAGCAGCAGTGTTTAGTGCTGGTCCAGGGTCATATTTTTCGGATATTTTATCCTCTAGGGCAGTGGTTCCAGATGATAGATCAGTATCACAAGCCATATTCCCAGAACTCTTTTTACAAACTTGGACCCTTCCAATTGACAGAGTTTCTGCAATACTCTCTGAACTGCCAGTAGAAATATTACTTACATCATTTGGGACCTGCAATTTCAGGGAACATCCATTTGGGATTATCTAGCCTGAGGTGGCATCAAAGCTAACAACTCCATTTTCATCCAATCTTAAAGTGTGAAATTCTCCTTCAGGATTCTGGCAGGCAATAACACTATCACTAATCATCAATATGGCTGTGTTATTCTTCAGTGGCTTTTGAACATCGGTAGATTCCAATGAGGTAGGGGACCCTGAATGATTGTCAGCCATTTGCGTGGACTACAAAACTTCCGCGTACGTGTTATGAGGCAATCTGTCTGAACTTGGCACAGTCTCATCCTGGTAGGATTACCATAAAGTTATCTGAAAAATAAAAATGGAATGTAATTTTCTGACTAAAATTGATATTTTATTCTTATCCTGACTCATGCTAATCATGCTTGTCTCCTTCCTCTTGCGAATGATAGTGGAACACTTGAAATCCCTTGAAGTTCCCTTTAAAAAAGAGGACGTAAAATCACTCACCCAGAGTAGCGTCCCTTCCTCCCTTTGGCCTCCTTTTGGTCACCTGACCGACCATGCCTTGTCACTCTCTCCGTATGAATGCCCGACACCCGGATTTATAGGGAAATCCAGAGTGCCACAAGAGGAGAGGTTGGGAGGGCTGACCTCATGAGTCAGGATAAGTATAAAATATCAATTATAGTCAGAAAATTACATATTTTTCCTTATCCTGACTCATGCTAATTATGCTTGCAGAATCCGTCGGAAACGGTGGTGGGTCAGGCCACGTTCTGGATTCACTAGTTGTATATTTATGTCTTGTATTACCCCCCATGGGAACTTATGACGGCACTATTGAAGATTCTGTTCTTTCAACTTCTCTCTGATGAGTCTGGGGGGACCACAACTTGTCAGATTTCTTCCGAAACTTCTCCTGACATTTTCGTGTGGATTAAGATATACTAATATTCCATTAGTTATCTATTGCAACTCCATCTCTTGATGCACACATCAAGTGGAGATGCGACCCTTCTTCTTGTATGTCCTATACAAGTACAGGGTCTATCACTCATGCTAGTCTGTCCTAGATGTGTGCATGGACTTATAGCCATTGCTCTCCAGAGCGTTGGTTTTCACAAGTCACGTGATAAAAGGGGTGAGATTTACTCATCGCCTTTGTGGAACCATTAGTTGTTGTGCTACAACAAGTGGCCCAAACTGGTGAATGCCTGAGACGTCTTCGGTGGCAATGTCTCTGAGGTAGTGGTTGGCAAACACCGTGTTCGATCTCCAAAAGCAGCCCTCCATTATAGTTGTAATTGAGCAGTTTCCATGCAGAGCAAGTGTTGACGCCAGGGCTCTGACTTCGTGTTGGATGGAGGCTCGTGGAGGTTCAAGTCCTGCTGCTTTATAGGCCCTTAGTATAATGGCTCTCATCCAGATTGATATCGTTGTCCGTGAGACTTCCGTGGGCGTCTCAGTGGATAAGGGGATGAATAGGCGCTTGAATTTTCGTCTCCTTGTTTTAGTTCTCTGTAGGTAGACTTTAAGTGCTCTGACTGGGCATAAGGATAGATCCTCCGTATCCTGTGGCCCAAGGACTGTAGATAGTGCTGGGATGTGGAACTGTCTGTCAGGCTGACCAGGCAGTTGGTTCTTGGCGATAAAATCCCATCTCAGTCCAAGATGTACAATGTCACGATGTCTTGTTTCAAATCGTGTTCGTTCAAAGTCCAGAGCATGTATTTCTGACATCCGTGCAGCTGTTGCTAGGGCGATCAGGAACAGCGTTTTCTGAGTTAGTAGCTCAAAGGATGCCTGTTCTAGAGGCTCGTAGGCATCAATGGTGAGATGTTGTAGAACTATGTTGAAATCCCAGGCAGGAGCCTTAATTTCTTTTGTTGGTCTTCCAACTTGAACGAGCGTAGTAGTGCCAGAATCTCTGGTACTTTGGTCAGCTTGATACCCATTTTCATGGTGATAACTGTACTGAGGGCAGCCATGTAAGTTGAGAGTGTTGAACCTTTTGGTAGCAGTGCAGGAGGTGGAAACTCATAAGTGTTTAGTCCTTCCCATGAGATGCTTAGAGCGTCTGTTGCCCATGCCTGAAGATCTGGAATCGGTGAGACGAATGTTGGTAGCTGTTTGTTGAACTTTGTTGCCAACAGGTCTATTAGTGGGGATCCTATAGTCTGTATGATGAAGACGAATGCTTCTGTATGCAACATCCATTCCGTCGGGGATGGTTGTAGTGGACGAGATAGGGCGTCTGCTATGACATTCTTTGCTCCTGGAATGTGGCATGCCTTCATGTAGATGTTCAGGTCGTCGACTATGCTGAACAGGTGAAAGCTGAGTTATGGCAGACTTGTTGATCTTGTTGACCCTTGTTTGTTGATGTAAAACGCCACTGTGGAGTTGTCCGTGTGTACCATCAGTCGTGCGTTCTTTAGTACGCTGGACCAATGTTGTAAAGCGTTGATTACTGCTTTCATCTCCAACAGATTGATGTGTGACTTCTGATCCTGACTCGACCACTTCCCTGCTGCCACTTCGTTGTTGAAGTGCGCACCCCATCCTTGTCGGGAGGCATCCATGTAGAGATGAATGTTGCAAACCAGCTCTGTCAAAAAAGGTTCCTCCTTAAACATTCGACTTCCGAGTCCACCATAGGAGATATGGTTTCAGGCTGTCCAGTAGTATTAACGGATCTAGGCTATCTATGTGGGCGATAACAAATACTGGTAGTGGCCGCAACTGTAGTCTCCCTCTGCGAGTCATGTCTTGAGCTGAAGTGAGTAGACCAAGCACGTAGTGTCAACGGAGAGAGCATTGCTTGAGATTTCATCTGTTGTATCTTGATCCAACGATCCTCTGGAACGGCTATGCGATTCACTGGTGTGATGAGTCGAATTCCTAGAAATTGCAGATCTTGTTTCGGCTCCAGTTCCGACTTGAGGAGATTTACTAGCCATCCTAGTTGAGTGAGCAGCCTGATGGTGAAGTCTAGTTGCAGTCTGAGTTGACTGGGATCTTGATGAGCTTGAACCAGGTAGAACGCACTGCGTAGACCTCGACGATGTAAATATGTGACAATGGGCTTGGTCACTCGAGTAAACAACCAGGGGGCCGACGATATTCCAAACGGTAGAACCTTCCACTGGAAGTGATGTCCGTTGAACAGGAATCGTAGGTATTTCCTTGAGTCTGGATGTATCGGGATGTGGAGGTACATATCTTGCAGATCTATGCTGGCGAGGTAGTCTGCTGGACAAACGAGATGTCGGAGCTGAGGAAGATGTATCATCTTGAATTTTGCTGGTCTGCGTAGATACTCCCGGTTGAACTTCCTCATGTTGTAGATGAGCCGAAATTTCTCCTTGGAATTCTTCTTCGGTACCAGGAAAATTGGGGAGTAGAACCCAGGGCATGATGAGATCTTGATCTATCTCTTCTACTGCCTCTTTGTCGAGCAGGGTCTTGATAGCGTCGTCCAGTTTCTCTACCTGGTCGGCTGCATAGTTGAAGGCCATCGGGTTGCTTGTGAGCGGCGGGGTGGCTTCCAACTGTATCTTGTACCCTCTGCTTAGTATCTGGGACACATAGTCGTCTTGTAGAATTCACCAATTTTCCAAGTATCGTTAAAGACGTCCACCCACTGTCGAAGGTTGTACAGGAACGGCTGGGGGTGGAAGACTCCAGTCATTCCGAACCTGGCCTTCAGCGCTTGATTCCTCTTGCACTCTCTGGACTCCTGCAAACTTGGATTTGTTGGAGTAGCATTGGGATGTCTAACGAATCACATTAGCCAAGGTGTTGATGGATTTAATCATCATAACCTCCCTCGAGTCGTGAGAGACTTCTCTGGCAACTTCTTCAATTCCTCCTCCAAAGATGTAAGATGCTGACCATGGGGCTCTGTATAAGGACTTGGTGAAGCGTTCACTCCCAGTGCATGCTGACAATAACCCTTGTCTTTTCAGGAGAGTCAGGCCTGCTGATGTGGATGCTAAGTGCTCCGACATAAACTGATGATCCCTCTTCTGCATTAGTAGAGCGGAGTATATCATCCGGTCTTCTTCGGCGGAGGAGTTCTTGAACTTCGAGATGAGTGTTTCGTTGATAGCCCTCGATCTGGCTAATCCGAAGAAGGTACGTCTGGTGGTTGTATCCAGCTGCGCTAACTTCTTATCCTCAATCTTGTAAGTTCTCTGACGGGGAGTCGGTGATAATCTTGTAGTCATCATCCACCTCTGGAGCCTTCAGGAAGGGTGCCATCCTATGTAGAGGGAATATCCTGGCGTTGAACGTCGGGATGTGCTGACTCTGACACTTGGTGGCTTTATCAAAAGTTGCGCTGAGGTTGTCTGATACTTGAGACATCGGGTCGATCGGTGGAAAGGTGAGCGTGTCGAAATCATCGTTAGACATCTTGTAGGTAAACGCCTCATCTGTGTCCTTAGAAGGTGATGCTAAGTCCAAGCCATTGGCGATCCAGGAGTTAACTTCCATATCTGAGAATATGCCTTCACCTTCTTCCTCTGATTTGGACATCTCTCACTCTATGGATCCACGACGACTTGAGTCTCTGTGAGATGCTTTGTATGAGGAGCTTCGCGCAGGCGAGAGCGATCCCGATGCGATCGTGTATCCTTTCTGGAGTCTTGAGATGATTCTCTAGGTCTTCGTGAAGGTGGGTTTCTGGACGTAGCTTCCCCTCTGTAGGAGTGCCTTCGCGCAGGTTCTCGATGGGCGTCAGAGTCCGATGGAGATGAAGACTCATATCTGCGACGTCTATGGGGTTCAGGAGAACGCCTCGATTTCTTCCTGCGTGGAGACTTCTTAGCAGCAATCTCTGGAGCGTCTACGGCTGAACTGACGTTGGTAGCGGTGTCCAGACTCCTCACTTCAGATGGGGAAGATCGTCGTGTCCGTGAGCCTTCGCGCAGGCTTCCCTCTTCATCCGGATGCGGTGGAGAGAGTGTAGAACCTTCACTCAGTCTAGTAGTCGTTGTAGAGGTCTTCATAGCAGCCTTCTCCTGAGCGAAGCGACGTTCCATCATCGACATCATCTGGTCTGTAAACTGTTGCATGAACAGTCCCGGGTTGAAGTTCTGCGTTGTCTGAAGAGACTGCTGCAGGGATGATGCATCTGATACTGAAGAGACGTCATCTAAGGCTCGCTGCACTTGTGAAGAGTTGACGCTGCTGCTATCTCTGGTACCCGATGTCTGCGTTGATAGAAGGTCTTCTGTCAATGTCTGCGCTGATAACAATGCCGATGTAGCTGTAGAAGCAGGCTTCGTCTTCTTACTGACGATGGAGACTTCCGGTATGAGGATGGGTGGATCATCATAAACGTCTGCTTCTTCCGGAGGAACAATCTCGGCTGAGAAAGACCTCGTCTTCTGCGTAGAGCTGAGCATAGACTTCGATGAAGTCTTCAAGGTAGTAGCCTTCTTCTTCTGCGTAGAAGATGATTTAGCCTTCTTCATCTGCGACGAGGTCAGCTCAGTAGACGATGATCTCTTATGGCCTCCGGCGTTCACCACTGGTACATCGACCTGCTCCCGAGAAACGTTCGGCAATTCACTGGAATTATGAATGTCTGCAGCAGTGGTTAACACACGGTTATCAGCGCAATCACTCGATTTAGACATGACTTGTGAATACCTACGTACCCAGTCCTTAGCACGTCTATGGATGGAAAAAAGGTAATTAGTAAATTCAACAGAGGTTAAATTTACACAAAACTTACAGCGAGAGCTGAAAGAACATGAAATAGTGCAATTAGGACATAATAAATGAGGGTCAGCCGCAGACACTCGGTACCTACAACGAATACAGGTTTTCATCAAATGTAAACACAATGAAAACACAAGTCAAACAACGGAAAATTTAGATCAAATTTCAAACCGTAATGTAGAATATAATCCTAAAAACCGTATACAGCAATAATTTTGATGTAAGGTCCGAAAATATAAAAGGATATGTGCCGTATAGGGACCCAGGTGCTCTCACAACCGTCCTCAAGGGCGAAGAAGGAGAGAGTGACAAGGCATGGTCGGTCAGGTGACCAAAAGGGCGCCAAAGGGAGGAAAGGGACGCTACTCTGGGTGAGTGATTTTACGTCCGCTTTTTTAAAGGGAACTTCAAGGGATTTCAAGTGTTCCACTATCATTCGCAAGAGGAAGGAGACAAGCATAATTAACTACACTGTTCCTATTTATATCCAGTCGGACCTGACATTTCGAGCATCACACGGTCGCTCAGTTATTTCTCACGCGTCTTCAAATACAAATACATGGTTGGAAATAGTGATCGATGAATCGTCCAGACAAACCACATCACCAACTCGCTCACACAAAAACATGTCAGTACTCCTTCAAAATTCTCAGTACACCTCCACTTGCAATATGATGTGTAAGTACACTCAACACCCAAAAAGTTATCTGGAGCCCTGACAATCAGCAGAGGTTCATATGCCGTACATATATGTAATAAGTTGGATGGAATGTATGTTTGGGGCAACCAGATATGACATGAATACTAAGACAAAGCACACAGTGTCAGTCACTCCTTCCAGGGCGGTGGGGTAGCCCAGTGGTTAAAGCGTGCGCTCATCACACCGAAGACCCGGGTTCGATTCCCCACATGGGTACAATGTGTGAAGCCCATTTCTGGTGTCCCCCACCGTGATATTGCTAGAATATTGCTAAAAGCGGCGTAGAACCAAACTCACTCACTCACTCATTCCAGACAGCAAGCTAAATCATTACTACCGTGCCCAAAGAAATCTCTACAATGGAAACACTGATAATAGAATTTAAAGCATGTTGCTGTATACATGGTATCAAAAAATCATTGCCTTTTCTCTTCAATAGACATTACTCATATACATGAAAGATGCAGAAATCATGTAGCATAACTACTTCACATGCATGTGTAGTTACAACTGGGCATTTCATAAGCTACAATAGTAATTGCAGACGAATATGATTGATACTGAGCCGGGGTGTGCTATCCCTGACGTCACTGCTTGGACACAAATGTGAACAGTTTCTGGATGGCAAAACTCACTTGGGTGATCATTGTAGCTCGCACACTGTTCAACATATCAAATCAGGGAGAATGATAAGATGAGATGCACAGACGAGCGTAGCGACATGTCAGAACCAGCGATGAACGGTGTATACCTGTCAACATGGCTGATGTGTCGGGTACCACTAGGGTGTGATAAAGTCCCAATCCTTGCTCTGTGGAGCACTATATCTATCACATTTCACATGAAACTTCACGGATCCCTTATGGATGTATACGATATAGTTTTAGATTCTGGTGATGTGTAGATTATTAATTACCCGATATTTTCCCTGACTGCTCTTTTTCAGTGACTCGTCTCTACTTGTTATGATTACACAATGCCATTTGTTGACAAAAACTATGCATTTACAGTCAATAAACATATCATACAAACATTTCATTTTATTCTTGTAATTCTTTACAAAAGCATTCATAACATGCAAATAACTGGTATTACCATGTTGTCTATACATTAATATTACTTTTGCTCTAATCAGTTTACTACAGTACTGTCGGAAATAGAAAAAAACTGTTTGTTCGCATTTATATCTACAATTTATGTAGTTAATATGTGAAAGGGTGAAATATCTGTTAAAGTAAGTTCGGCCTAACTACAGTCTCAGTGGTAGGGAGATAGGAAACATAGAAAAAGGACTTTACAGAGGAGAGATCAGTGCAGAAATTAGCTATGCAGTTTTTTTCTAAGTCCAAAGTGACTTAACTGGAACAGACCATGGCTTTATGCAAATTAGTGTGTGAGGATATTGTATTACAAAGGACACTTTTCAAATGCCCATTTTGAAATTAAACTGAGATTTATTATAAACGATAGCTGACATAAAAAATAATAACTTTGATACTGAAACGATTAAGGATGTAGCTACCATGGAGTCTCACTATCACAATAAAAAGAAACAGGTAGGAGGGGTTGTCTCAAAAGCAAAACCAGGACGGGTGTCACAAACGGTGGTTAGGGTTGGGCTAGGGGATAGAGATATCAGCTGAGATAAGATAATCCTTTAGGGAACTAAACTGGGGAAGCAAACGGCATCTCATAACAATTTACAAATCATATCCAGACCTGTCGATCTTTGGGTGGTCATGCCACCAATATATTGAGACATTTAATATGATGGCTGATTTTAAGTTTTTCTATGGGTATCACACTCTTTTACATATCTCAACATAAACTTACTTTAGATGTTAATCAATAGATGAGACATATTCAACACACATGAAAAAGCATAAAATATTTTTGAGATGACCCCTTGTGCCTGTAGGCAGCACATGCATTTCATGCCAGGTGAGTCGACAGTCCATCGTCATACCTGGCTGAGCGACCTAACATTGCCGTCTATAGTCCCATCTATTGCTTTCAGCAGCTATTCAAATTTTTTCTTACATTTTGCCCAATTTTATGAGTAAACATGCTTTTCTGGATATCCTATTACGCATCCTACTGAATGCCCAGTTAGGCTGATGTGGGTTATTTCGACATATGCTATTTGCAATTGTGTAAATTTTAGAGATACAGAGTAACAGCCTAAAAACAGGGTTTTTTTCTATTTCCGACAAAACTTTAATAGAACATTTATCAGAAATATTACTACATTAGTACATATCATATGAAGAATATAATATCGAAGTTGACATAAACTATGCATTTATGGTACTGAGTATATATTTAATCATTTTAAATAAATTGGGGCATTTTGACTACTCCCCTAGGGCAATTTGACCAAACCTGGGGCATGTCATAAAATTTGGTCAAAATACATCAGATTATGGGTCCAATTGACCAATAATCTGATGTATTTTGACCGAATTTGCAGGGGGCATTTTGTAGCTGCTGCGATTTGACTGGCACCCTTCTTATCCAGGGGCTGTTCCAAGCATACTCACCGGTTTGACCACAACCCTACCTAACATTTGTGTTTGAACAGCGGAATATAACAGACGACAATCCCAAATTACATGTTTCTTTTATTTTGACAGCATCCTAAATCATCACATAATCACCAAAGTACCACAAAACACCATCACATGTTGTCTATTGATTTCATACCAGCTGATTCGACACATCCGACACAGTAACACAGTTTTCGGTGTGCACACAAACATATACAAACTGACATATACTTCGTTTGGGAAAACGCATTTTATATGCGATGCACTTACCGGTACCAGATAAAAACAACAACAACAGAATATTAATACAGCTGTTGTATTTTGTCTAGTCAAATAGGTTTGACATAGCCTTCGATCTCTTCGTTCTGACGGATATGGTTTCCATTCGCGCCATGGTGAACACGATTATCTCCCCTTACAAAAGAGGCCGTGTGAAGGTTGTATATGTATTAATCTTTATGAGTGAGTGAGTTTAGTTTTTAGCCGCTTTTAGCAATATTCTGCAATATCACGGCGGGGAACTCCAGAAATGGGCTTCACACATTGTACCCAATTGATCTTTATGGCACAGAACCCGACATATAGTTTTATTTGAATAAATGGTAAGTAAATATGAAATACACAATGCCGTTTTAGAAAGTGATCAAATGTAACATATGTTATATTTGGGATAACACTTTCTTAGTAAAGTACAGATTCTAGTACATTTTGGGTTAAGTCCCATCCGGAATTCGAACCCACACCCTCAGAGTCATGCACCTAATCGCCAGCACACAAGTACAAAGTCAGACGCCTAGACCGCTCAGCCACCGCGCCTTCCACAAAAATGGAAGTCGGACAACTGGTAGTCTAGAACATGTGTTACATTTGATCACTTTCTAAAATGGCATTGTGTATTTCATAGCTTTCGGCCGTGGGAGCAGTGCCAATGAACACTTATCAGAGGGGTACACAAAGCCCGCAGTCTAGACTACCAGTTGTCCGACTCCAAATTTAGTGGAAGGCGCGGTGGCTGAGCGGTCTAGGCTTCTGACTTTCTGTACTGGCGATTAGGTGCCCGACTCTGAGGGTGTGGGATCGAATCCCGGATGGGACTCAACCCCAAAAGTACTACAATCTGTACTTTATTAAGAAAGTGTAATCCCAAATATAACATATGTTACAGGTAAGTAAATAGACCAGCAAATGCAATTTATTTTTATGCCGGAGCTTTTTATCATGACAGATGGTATGACAATCAACACATTTTTAAAAGTAAGCTGACACCATCACATGGTAGGCCTATGTGCTGTTTTATCCCGGAATTTTAACACACAAACCCCAAACAAAAAAACACAAAACAACAACAACCCTCAACCCTACCCAATAAGGGAAGCTCCGTTCATAATTTATAGCTAGGGCGGGTCATGATGATTTTTTATGGAGAAGTATGTACAATGTGAATGATCAACCTTAAATATAATGTACAAAGTAAGTGCCCCCCCCCCCCCCACATCTGCATGTCATGTACGAAATCAACGACTCCAGCCACCTTCCCATAATTTTTAAGCATACTTTTTTCTCATTCTATGTACAAAATTGCTGACCCCATTAATTAAATTATTAATTAATGACATTTCACCATAAAATAGCAACAAAATTACAACAGTTTCCGATATTTTGTATTTCTTTTCTATTTCGTGATTGAAATCATAAAAATACAGCTGTGCTTCACTGAAAAAGTCAAAACGAAATGTTTTTCATATTTGGTGCCAACTCTTACTTTCTGGAACAGTCATGCAATATCAACGACAGGTGCCCGTACGAGTTATCTGCCCCTGCTAATGTCGTTAACACCTAGCGTAAACGGGTCGTGGTGTCAACACGAGAAGACATCTAATGACAACTGTCACTGCATTAAAGGGTATTTTTTGACCAGAAACAGTGACAATTATGGACGAACCGATGGAGGATATGCAACCGGATTCTACACAAGAAAATCAATCCTCAGAAACGACACGGAAAGCGTGTGCCCCCCTCTTGAGACCAGGGAGTATGGGTAAGATTAAAGATGACTCGTGGGCTAGATTTACGACTTGAACATCAATCGTGTACAAACGGAGAGGCACGTTTAATTAATATTATAGAAGCTCATATTGATTGTTGTCAGTGCATGTTATCAATTGTCTTATGAATTGTCTTATCAAATTCACCCGTAACATCAGACTTAGAGAATTATAGTCGAGATAACTATTTCTCGTTTAAAAACAGTTTCTTCAGAGGTAAATACCACGAGGCGCTGTCCCTTCAGTGTCCCAATACTTTAATGATTAAACATGACCCAACCAATAAAACTTAGAACATAGCTTCAGCAGGTACACGAGATGGAATGCCAAATAGCAACGTATATATATAGCCAGACTAGTTTTGGAGGGTCATAACAGTGATTACAGGTCTTACACCTGCTCAGAAGCCCTTGTGTTCAGCTACAAGGCAGCAGTTCATGTCAGTTAAGAATCCCCAGTTCGTACGTCAGCACTCTGTTACTAGTATACCTCAGTATATTTTTCAGATAATGTTAAAGAATATATGAAGTTTTGTGATTAGCTCTGTGGTTTAAGAAAAAAATCTACACAGACTTCCATTCACAATTAATATTTACCTTCTTTGACAAATAGGATACTTTATATAATAAATAGTTTTTAAAAGTAAATTGAAACCCTAACTTTCCATGCAACCAATTTTGAGATTGCTGTTATCAGAACCATAACATTTATATTAAGGGCCACAGTATGTAGAAAATGGATCTGCACGTACAGTGTCGCTGTCAAACACTTTAGCTCCTACTATATCACAACACCCATACCTAAACACATGCTATATCACAATATATTGCAATTACATTTTATTTGCCAATACACAAACCTTCCAGTTTGAATAAACAACTTCACACTTAAATCATAGTTGTAACATATGTTGTAGTATGAATTTGTAATCATGGCTTGTATTTCACAGACCATGCAACAAAATGCAAGAGGACATAAAATAATGCTTATTTTTTTATTGCACCCGGTGCAGTTTTGTAACTACACTGCTATATAAATGTTAAATTCTTCTGAATTTAGAAGAAGAAAAAAATCAATAATTTCCTAATGGTTTGACGAGTATGTGAACACAACTATTGGCTAATTATGAGATGAACATGATCTTGAGTGAGTGTGAGGCGTTGATCATATTGATTACGTAACAAACAAGCATGCAGCTTCTGCGAGTTTATTCTGTACATCTCTTATTAAGTTGCTAGGTATTAGTAAGACAGTTACAACATGCGTGATATAAACATATAGATATGTATATAGTTATGTCATTTGCATGTTTTCAGTTTCATTACCTGACTATGTTGCACTAAACAGTGAAGAGGTGATTTACATAACAAAAGTAGATATGATCTTCCCTATCCTGGCCTTGAAGGGAGGGTGCAGCATGTGGGTGTTTGATTTCAAAGTAGTGCACAGATTCAGTTATCCCTGGTTATACAGGATTCCCTTTTGTCACCTGATGCATTTCCTTCCTGGTGGCTCACATCAAGTTGTCAAACCCAGTCATGTATTACATGGTTTGGTGGGTCAAAGCTTTTTCATGCACAGATACACAAGGTTGACAATCTTATTTGTATCAACAAAGTTAAACAATTTGAATCCTTTCACACCTCAACATCTGATAATGAAATTAAGTTAAGGATTTTCTTTGTCGGGCTTATGATCAAGGTTGATTTTCCTTCTTTGTCTATTCCAGTGATGATGACACTGACTCCAGAAGATTATCAAAATGAATACTGGCCGAAGCTGCAAGGCGCCATTGCTCAACTCCTGACCATGGACCCAGGCAGTTATATCCCCATATCATATGAACAGATGTACAGGTAGGGGTTTGTGACCATGGACCCAGGCAGTTATATCCCCATATCATATGAACAGATGTACAGGTAGGGGTTTGTGACCATAGACCCAGGCAGTTATATCCCCATATCATATGAACAGATGTACAGGTAGGGGTTTGTGACCATGGACCCAGGCAGTTATATCCCCATATCATATGAACAGATGTACAGGTAGGGGTTTGTGACCATGGACCCAGGCAGTTATATCCCTATATCATATGAACAGATGTACAGGTAGGGGTTTGTGACCATAGACCCAGGCAGTTATATCCCCATATCATATGAACAGGTGTACAGGTAGGGGTTTGTGACCATAGACCCAGGCAGTTATATCCCCATATCATATGAACAGATGTACAGGTAGGGGTTTGTGACCATAGACCCAGGCAGTTATATCCCCATATCATATGAACAGGTGTACAGGTAGGGGTTTGTGACCATAGACCCAGGCAGTTATATCCCCATATCATATGAACAGATGTACAGGTAGGGGTTTGTGACCATAGACCCAGGCAGTTATATCCCCATATCATATGAACAGATGTACAGGTAGGGGTTTGTGACCATAGACCCAGGCAGGTATATCCCTATATCATATGAACAGATGTACAGGTAGGGGTTTGTGACCATAGACCCAGGCAGGTATATCCCTATATTATATAAACAGATGTACAGGTAGGGGTTTGTGACCATAGACCCAGGCAGGTATATCCCTATATCATATGAACAGATGTACAGGTAGAGGTTTGTGACCATAGACCCAGGCAGGTATATCCCCATATCATATGAACAGATGTACAGGTAGGGGTTTGTGACCATAGACCCAGGCAGGTATATCCCTATATCATATGAACAGATGTACAGGTAGGGGTTTGTGACCATAGACCCAGGCAGGTACATGTATATCCCTATATCATATGAACAGATGTACAGGTAAGGGTTTGTGAAGTGTCAGTGTCATCATTTTTTACATCTTCCTGACTGAAAGTCCAGTCTCCTGTTTCTTACAGACTAGGCTGGAATTATGGATAACTTTGTATTTCGTCTGCTAATGAATCTATGCACAGCCCAAATATCATATGATGAAATCTATGAACTGTTTGCAAACATTATGATGGCAGCTTTGCAAATTTCAGTTGATTGCTAAAAGCGGCATAAAACCAAACTCACTCACTCACACGCTGTAGTTTTGTACATTATTCCAGGGATATTGTAATCTGGTTGTTATTTTGAAGTTTCCTGCTGTGTGCATAGTGTCCTGTTCCTGTGTTCCAGCTGTGTGTACAAGTGTGTTTGTAAGCAGTTCTCAGAGAGGCTGTACTCGGACCTGCTCGCCCTGATGACGTCGCACGTCCAGATGCTCAATACACAACTCGAGGGCAATGTAAGCTGAAGTGTCTGCTCCTAGCTTGATTACAAGTGATGTGCAGAAACTAAAATACTGCTATGATTGAAGATGACATGTTTATGATAGGGAATATATTATATACCTACCAGACCTAAGTTTGAATTCCATAAAATAAAAATGAATTTTAGCTTAGACTCCACAATCCTTATCAGTAGATGAGAGTAGAAATGTATGATAACTCAAATTGATTTAATGTTTTTAAGACACGTGTACTGAGGTCCCTAAAGTTATTATATGAAATCTCTTCTATTCTTTGTGTTTAATGTTTCAGATGGAGGATTCCAAAAAATTTATAGAATGTTTCTCCTTCACGATGCACCAGTATCTTCAAGCTCTGGCTGTCATTGTCCCCATCTTTAACTACATGGTGAGTCAGACAGGCTCCCACCACCTACTTCAGGGGTTTGAAATTGGGGTGGAAGCATGTTGGGTTTGATCATTAACATGTTTAAGATGTTGAGTTAAACTTGGCAAAGATCCACACCATAGATCTATCAGGGCCAGCCAGCCAGCACCCTGGATGTGGAGTATTCCTGTAAGCAACACATGTATTATAAGACCACATTCAACACTGACAACACATTGTAATACAAACAGCAATGATGAAGAGTAAATTTAGGAATAATATTCATGTTACAATTGGTTGCTTGGAAATAGGTTAGATATAGATCATCATCAATTTGCTTGGCTTCATTTCAGAATCGGTTTTATGTTGAGAACAAGTTAAAGAAGGATTTGAATGAAGAATTACGGCGACTGTTTCGAATCCATGTGGCGGACCATCACATCAATACCTTACTGCGTAAGTTCATTGTCATTTTGAACTAGGTCAAGGACATTAAGTAAGTGCTGGCAAGGTCAAGGACACTGTTAGTTCTAACAAGGTCAGAGACATTTTGTCAGTAAAAGAATGTTTCCGTAGCCATTGAAATGTAATGTATATCAAGTTGGTCTGTACCTTGTGTTCCTTTATCAGCTGCATTTGTGGCCTGCTCCTCTGTGTAACCCAAATTGTTAATCGGTCTTATAATATTCATCATTCTTCAGCTCTGTTGGAGGAAGTTAGCTGCCAACCATTTGCCATTGCACCACCTGTGATGGCTAACCTCATGAGAAATCTTCACTCATTAAACTCAGGTAAGTCTTCCTCCACTCAGAGCTTTGTGTGTGTTACACAAAGAGTATTTATTGATTAGCACTGTAGAAGTGTGTTGAGAATCCCACACAAGTGTGTTAGTATATGACAGTTGCCTTCAAAACATTATGCTGCATTATAACTGTAGTGATATCGTCTAGGAAATGTCACAACCATAGGAAGCTACAGGTGTACAGATCACTCATCACTGAAAACTCACGTTTGATTCCCCACATCTTCACACTCGTAAAATCCACTCTCTCACTAACGCTAGGAGATATCACTTGATCTCACCAAGCACAGTAGCAGCCACTGGATGATAACAGAATAAACCAGAAGCAATTTGTATGGATGACAGCATCTATATCAGGTGTGCGAGGTGACTACATCTAACAGAATACATGTGTTGGGACAAATGTGTCCATAACAAGTGGAATAATAGGCCTGTAGACATACACAAAGACATCGGTGATTGTTAGGAAGCATGTCATTAGCACACACTGAGGGGATAGGAAAGTGCTACATTGTGCTCAACTCAAGGTAGGCTGTAGTGTCTATTCAAATGGTGTTCTTCCTGACACGGGGGCAGTGGGGTAGCCTAGTGGTTAAAGCGTTGGCTCGTCACGCCGAAGACCCGGGTTCGAATCACCACATGGGTACAATGTGTAAAGCCTATTTCTGGTGTCCCCAGCCGTGATGTTGCTGGAATATTGCTAAAAGAGGCGTAAAACCAAATTCAGTCAGTCAGTCTTCCTGTCACCTGTGTTGTCAGGGTTTGCTTCCAGAAGATAATCGATGTATTCAGATGCTGACTACATTCATCAATATTGAGCAGATCACTGTATTATGACTGGTCCTTTCTGGTTTCAGAGTATGTGAGATTAAAACCAGCTTTATTTGCTAAGTTCATACCCAGTGTTCTTCCACCGACCTCTGTGGCAGATTTAGAGAAATATATCGACGAGGTGCAGCAGATGCAGAGGGATATTCACCTACTACCAGACTTCGCACAGTGAGTTGCTAGGATTATGTGTAACCATGGTAACAGAAAACCCAACAACTATGGAGAAATTAACCATTATGTAAATATGATACTGTTTTTAAACATTAGTAATGTCCCCGACTTCACAAAAACGTCTTGTTGATAAACAGATAACATGTTATAGGCTGTGGAACTGAATGATGTAATATCATTTTGAAGTAGTAAGTACAAGGGTTATTAGCATTGTGTGTTTTGATCAAACTTACTCAATAAGCTTTCATTGTTTCTCTTGCATGCTCAGTCTTGATTGATTGATTGTATTAGTTTCTCGTCCACGCGTCAAAGACCTTTCGAATCTCCACATGGGCACAATGCTACTGTTGCTGGAAATTGAAAAGCATCTTGTATCATTCAGCATCATTCAGCATAATACTTACAGTCCTAGATTTAGTAAGGGGAGGGTCAAACAGCCTTCAAATCCTGTACAATCTATTAGAGTAAGTATATATAAGACAACAGACTGAGAATAAGTAAAATACATTGATAGTAGTCCTCATTGGCAAGAACTCAACCTGTTCTCAGTGCTTCAGTTTTGCTTGTACACCAATAGAGCACATGCCCAGAAAAGGTTCTTGTCTTTTTCTAACAGGTCTTGCTACAAACTGAAGACCGTATTTTATTTTACTTAATGAACATGAACTCTGGGAATGGTCTGATTCCTGTTGTCAGAAGTGATAAAGATGGCAAATGGTTGGCCCTAAAGACAAAGTGCTGTGCTTTTCAAAATGTGGATATTCTCACCATGCTCACAGAACAGACATCATGGGGATAGGCTTACAAAACAGTGATATGGACAATTTGTATTTCAGCCATGATCAGAGCCGGAAGAGGGGGTGTGAGGAGGACATATCTGTCAATTGACACAAGGTGGGTACAATACAATGCACACAAGGTGGGTACCATACAATACACACAAGATGGGTACCATACTATACACACAAGATGGGTACCTCACAATACACACAAGATGGGTACCTCACAATACACACACGGTGGGTACCTCACAATACACACAAGATGGGTACCTCACAATACACACAAGATGGGTACCTCACAATACACACAAGATGGGTACCTCACAATACACACAAGATGGGTACCTCACAATACACACAAGATGGGTACACACACACACGAGGTGGGTACCTCACAATACACACAAGGTGGATGCCATACTATACACCTCACACACAAGGTGGGTACCACATCACAATACACACACAGGTGGGTACCACAATACACTGGCATACACACAATACCTACAATACACACAAGATGTGGGTACCATACTATACACACACAAGGTGGGTGCCATACAATACACACAAGGTGGGTACCTCACACATACACACACAAGGTGGGTACCATACAATACACACAAGATGGGTACCTCACAATACACACAAGGTACCTCACAATACCATACAATACACACAAGACACACAAGATGGGTACCTCACACAATGGGTACACACACAGATGGGTGCCATACCACACAACGCGGTACACACAACACACAAGTGGGTACCTCATCACACAAGGTGGATGCAATACACACAAGGTTGGTACCATACACACACCTGGGTACAACACACACACAAGGTGGGTACCACACAATACACACAAGGTGGGTGCCACACAATACACACACAAGGTGGGTGCCACACAATACACACACAAGCTGGGTATCTCACAATACACACACAGGGTGGGTACCTCAATACAATGCACACAAGGTGGGTACCTCTAACACATGGGTCACACAAGGTGGGTACCATACAATGCACACAAGATGGGTTCCCTCAATAATACACACAAGTTGGGTACCATACAATACACACAATACACACAAGATGGGTACCACACAATACACACATGGTGGGTACCATACAATACACACAAGGTGGGTACCATACAATACACACAAGGTGGGTACCATACAATACACACAAGATGGGTACCACACAATACACACAAGGTGGGTGCCACACTTTACACACAAGGTGGGTACCATACTATACACACAAGGTGGGTGCCACACGATACACACAAGCTTGGTGCCACACAATACACACATGGTGGGTACCGTACAATGCACACAAGATGGGTACCACAATACAGACAAGGTGGATGCCACACAATACACACAAGGTGGGGACCATAAAATGCACACAAAGTGGGTACCACACAATATGGGTGCCACACGATACACACAGGGTTTGGGACCATACAATACACACAAGGTGGGTGCCACACGATACACAAGGTGGGTGCCACACAATACACACATGGTAGGTGCCACACAATACACACATGGTGGGTGCCATACAATACACACATGGTGGGTACCTCTAAATACACACAAGTTGGGTGCCATACAATGCACAAAAGATGGGTACCACAATACACACAAGGTGGGTACCTCTCAATGCACACAAGGTGGGTACCTCTCAATGCACACAGGGTGGGTACCTCTCAATACACACAAGATGGGTACCTCTCAATACACACAAGATGGGTACCACAATACACACAATCTGGGTACCATACAATGCACACAAGGTGGGTACCATACAATGCACACAAGGTGGGTGCCATACAATGCACACAAGGTGGGTACCTCTCAATGCACACAAGGTGGGTACCTCTCAATGCACACAGGGTGGGTACCTCTCAATACACACAAGATGGGTACCTCTCAATACACACAGGGTGGGTACCTCTCAATACACACAAGATGGGTACCTCTCAATACACACAAGATGGGTACCTCTCAATACACACAAGATGGGTACCTCTCAATACACACAAGATGGGTACCTCTCAATACACACAAGGTGGGTACCTCTCAATGCACACAAGGTGGGTACCATACAATACATACAGTGTATACCTGAGGTATACAATGGGTATATAACAATGCACAATGATGCCTCACATCACACCTCTGCTGGGTTTTACACAACTCAGATATATAGTGAGTGAGTGAGTTTAGTTTTACACTGCACTCAGCAATATTCCAGCTATATTGGCATCTGGACCAGACAGTCCAGGGATCAACAGCATGAGCATCAATCTACGCAATTGGGATACGATGACATGTGTCAACCCAGTCAGCCTGACCACCAGATCCCGTTAGTCGCCTCTTACGACAAGCATGGGTTACTGAAGATCAATTCTAACCCGGACCTTCACGGGTCTCAGATATATACGTCCAGTATGCAGAGATGACAACAAAAGAAATGTAGATGACGTTCTTGGGGATGCACATTAATATTCACTGTTCCAAATTCTTGATAAAGATTAATCATTGACTTGCACATTTCACAACTTTATGGGAACCAGGAATATTATGGGCCCATCTCAGATTTCTATTTTCGCCTGTTGTGTAAATTTTTTTTGGTTAAAACTATTTTCCTGATAATTAACACTTATTTTTTTTAACTTTTTTTCAGAATCCCAAGATCAAGCAGTAATTCCCTGTGACCCTTTGGGGTTAAATGGAACCCCTCCATGAACAATTTTGATGAGGAGACTGGATAAGTCTGTTACTTCTCAGAGGGGAGTTGTTTGCTTGGATTTGAACTGTTATCATGCAGTAATTATATGCAAACTACAATCCCCTAATAATTCAAGATAAACGAAGAGAAAATCCAAGATGTGAAAGAGACACTGGAGTTTTTGTGTTGCTTCTGTTGGAAGATGAGGGTCATGTGTTGTATCCTTAACCCTTTGGGGTGTATGAGACTTACCACACCATCTCTTGTGTTGTATCCTTAACCCTTTGGGATGTATGAGATTTGCCGCACCATCTCATGTGTTGTGTTCTTGACTGGGGCAGAGTTTGGGATGTATGAGATTTACCGTAACCATCTCATGTGTTGTGTTCTTGTGTCCTAGGTCAGGGCTTTGAACCCAACTTCACCAGGATATGCTGTTCATAGGTTTGAATCAATGTTTGCAAGGATATGCCCATCATAGGTTTGAACCCAGGTCTGCCAGGATATGGCAGTTGTAGGTTTGAACCCAGGTTTGCCAGGATATGGCAGTTGTAGGTTTGAACCCAGGTTTGCCAGGTTATGGTGATTCTAGGTTTGAACCCAGGTCTGCCAGGATATGGCACCTGGAGGTTTGAACCCAGGTCTGCCAGGATATGCTGAATGTAGGTTTGAACCCAGTTCTGCCAGGATATGCTGATTGTAGGTTTGAACCCAGTTCTGCCAGGATATGCTGATTGTAGGTTTGAACCCAGGTCTGCCAGGATATGCTGACTGTAGGTTTGGAGCCAGGTCTGCCAGGATATGCTGATTGTAGGTTTGAACCTAGGATATGCCGGTATTTTTTAACCCAGGTTTGCCAGGATATGCTAGTAGGTTTGGACCCCTTTTCGCCAGGATATGCCAATGATAGGTTTGGAGCCAGGTTTGCCAGGATATGCCAGTTGTAGTTTTGAACCGGTAGATGTCAGTTGTAAGTCTGCTCCAGTCCACACCTCTCATCTATCTTACTTATATTCACGGACGACTTCACCAAACTGGTACAAGGCGATGACCAGTATCACATTGGCTTACCTCACATCTCACTTAAACTGATTTGAATAGAGACCTTAAGGCTACATTAAACCCAACAGTCTCATTCTGCATTATCTTGAAAACTATACCAGATGTAATTAACACGGCTGGTTGTAACTGTTGCCAAGGTGTTGATGAAAGCCAGAGAACCTACCAGGTTAGGGATCGTAACTTTCTGTTGGAGGACATGTTCTAATTGGCAATTTGAGCTGGTTTGGACTGGTGGCTGAGCATGTCATGGTTTGTCCGGGAATGCAGTATAGTGTGTGTTTCTCAAGTGGATAACATTTTGATGGAATCTGGATCAGGGTATGTTTTGCTGTTGTTTTGGCCCCCATCTTGGATTGGGAGTCCTCATGTACCTTTGAGGAGAATTGTCAAGCAAGCCCAGTTAACATGCTACAGGGTAAAAGGGTAAATTCTTGGTGTTTTTACATTTACTTGTCACCATTGGTCACACGTATAAATTGCGTGTAAGTATTTTTGTCTACAGTGTGTGTAGTAATTGACATGTTCGATGCATAGACATTTCATTTTGATTCAATGGTTTGAGACTGAAGGTTCAAATGTGAAGATACCTTGGCATGAAATACTCCCTTTTAGACATGTAAACAGCATGTACATCAGAATTTAAAGTACAAAAGAAATTTATACCTTTGGGCAGCACTTTTTTGTCTTTGAATTCAATTGTGCAAAATATATGTCACTTTGACTTGTATTGTATGCATGATGCCTCAGAATGATGCATGACCTCATTCAACAATCAATGATGTCTTTGTTCAGTGTCATAAAACACTTCATAACATCAAACAATGTCATCGAACAATGCATGACATGGTCTAACAATGTCTCAAACAATGCATGACATCATCAATAAACGATGTCCTTAAACAGTGTAATCAAAGCATGATGTCATTGAACAGTGTTGTCAAAGCATGATGTAATTGAACAGTGTTATCAAGTGATGTAAGACATTAAACAATGTCAAACAATGCATGACTTCATCAAACAATGAATAATGTCATTGAACAATGTTATCAAGTGATATTAGACTACAAACAGTGTAAAAGAATGCATGGTCAAAAAATGATAAGAAACGACCCTTTTGTTTGCTGGGCACTCATATGAGCAAATCATGTTCCCACTCTCATGGCAGGGACACTTCAGAATGTGTGACTCTGCTGCAAGGTTCGGAATGTGAGACTGCTGCAAGGTTTGGAGATGCACATGTCAGTTACTGCTGTGGAGATACTGCTTGAATAATAGCTAAATAACACCTCAGCATAATCATATGACAAGGCAAGGCCAGATTTAAAACTTAAATTTATGGATCCGCCAACAGTTAAACTCACAGTTGAAAAGACGCAGTTCAAGGCAGTCAGCATAGTCGTTGTTTTAGTTCACATCCGATACAAGTCGGCGACATCAAGACAAGCTACAATCAGCTGGTCATGTGTTCAGGTCCCTCATTTCTGTGGTTTGGTGCCACAAGGGCGTTGTTGTACAAAACAACCTTAGCGCTATGACAGTCGTTAGTCTATGTTAAGGTATGGGCGTTATTGTCACCTCAGCCCAAAAATCACTGTGTACAATGGCACCCATGGCCAATGGGTTTCATCAAAGGATATAAGGATGAAAAATATTTGGCCAGATCCACCCCCAGCATCCATGTATTATTACAACAAGACAGAACCTGTGTCATTCTCAGCTCATATTTATCTGGCAACTTGACATGACGGAAACTCTGATCAAAGTTACATAAGCAGAACTCACTCATTGTTACCACATAATGGAAAACTGTTCTTCCCAACAGAATGATACCAGGATGTAATAAACACCTTGTGTTTGTACTATAGTGTGTATATGTGTGTAAATAATGTGCCCATATGCTGTATATATACAACTGTAGCTTGTGTAAACATACCTGTAACCTTGTACATTATTGTAGCACATGTTTACATTGAGCCGTAGCTGTAGCTCAGGGGATGTGTAGTATTAGGTCAAGGTCATACCCACTAACACCACGTCTACTGGAGTAGCATAACACGCTAGCTCCACGTCTACTGGAGTAGCATAACATGCTAGCTTGTTTACTGAATAATAATTTCAATACATTGGATTTCATATTGGTCAGGGTCAGTGGGGTAGCCTAGTGGTTAAAGCGTTCGCTCATCATGCCGAAGACCCGGGTTCGATTCCCTACATGGATACAATGTGTGAAGCCCATTTATGGTGTCTCCCCCGTGACATTGCTAGAATATTGCTAAAAGTGGCGTAAAACTAAACTCACTCATTTTGGTCAATGAAAAAATCAGTTCTGTTTAAAATGCAATCCTGATCAACTAAACGTGGCAAAATAGAATGACTTCCTGAGTCCTTTACATGTAATAGGAATTTAATGGTCACAAAGACTGCTGTGTTAAGGAGCTGAGATAGCAAAATGGCCTCTCAGCTCTGAAATGACATGGAATAATTCTGCCAATTATCATCTCAATAACCCCATTGGATTGTCAGCCTAGGGCTGGGTTACCATGGTTTCTTAACTAATTTGCAAGTTTACCTTTGTGGCCATCTTGAACCTGAAATAGTTCATCTCGCTCATGGCTGCCTAGAACTTTCGGACGCAGATCTATTCTGATTTTGATTTTTTTTACCAAACCTGATTATCTATATACATAAAGTTTGAAATGTGTTTTTCTTTAAAGAATATTAGTTTGGTTTGAATGATCATGAAAGACGTTCTATATCCCCTTTAGTAAAATACTGGTGATGGAATCATGATATAAAGTTTTGTTGGAGAAAGACAACAGGGTGTTATGGTTGGTTATACACTGGAGTACATCTAGTGAAGGGATTATATCATTTCTATTCTTATTTGGATCGGTTTTCACTACAAGGAATGTCCACTATTTCCGTTCTTCAATCCCAGTGAGACACTCACTCATCCCATGTTATATTTGCTGTGTGTATTCAGTCACTTAAGTGGGAATAATGAATCATTTTTGTTCTGAAGTTATACTTTTGTTTCAGTGGAGCAATAAATTAGCGTTCTCTTACTGCTTGTTTGCTGTTCAGTGTTACCAAAGTCTGTTTCTGTTATCAAATTGTTTCCAATCCAAAACCCTCCCTGCTTATTATTTTAATGTTTTTCTATGCCATTTTCATTGTTTTATCAATCAGTTCTTGAACAAAATTAGTAATTCTTGCCTATAATTTCCTTGATCGTTTGCTTTTGTTAAAGTATGGGCATTAAAATGGGGAAAGTCATGGTGCTGAGAGAAGATCTACCAAGAGGTCCAAATTCATTCTCTTAGTAAGAGAACCAGTACCTTATGAATGTCCTGGGCCCCCTTTCCTCAAAGCGACCATAGCTCTAAGATGATCGTAACTCCCATACTTTAGCATAGACTTACGACAGTCGTAGCACTCCCATACTTTAGCATAGACTGATCGCTTTGAGGAACGGGACCTTGGACTATTATAGCCCATTTAGTAACACATATATTACACAGCAGCAATACTTCATAACTGAAATAAGGTTACTTTAGAAGCATCTTAAACATTTGGTGTCAGTGTTAAGGGGTTTGGGTATGGGAGAGTGTCATGGTGTAAATTCTTCTATGGGTTTGCCTTATTTATATGTTTACTGAATCACCAAATAGTTTTCAGATATTAGTACTTGTATTTCATGATACAATGTTACTGTGTGAGACGATATTTTTTACCCTGGGTCTTCAGTTAAAGGGATGGTTTCTAAGGTATTTGTAGTCAATCTGTCACACTTACTGGTATACATGTTCTCCAGAAACAATGACAGTATGTTGCTTTGTTCATAGTTTGTGTACAGAATTGTCAATATACAAGTTGTTATTCTTTGCAACATGATATTAAATGACTTAAATATTGTCTCTGTTTGGTTGTTTTTCAAGTTCCTGTTCACAATTAATCAACAAATACATCGCGGGAACAGTTAATGGCACAACTGGTCCATTTGTACAAGAAACTGACCGAGCGTATGCCCGGAGAGCGGAACTTCGCGGGTTCGATCCCCGGCCGCGTCATACCAAAAGACGTTAAAATATGGTACTTGTTGGTCCCTGCCTGGCGCTCGGCATTAATGGGTACAACAAGGACTGGTCGGCTTGGAGTCAGTATAATGTGTCTGAGTGGGGTATTCATCCACATACACATACTCATGCATGCACGTCGTCATATGAGCGAAATATTCTCCAGCACAACGTTAAACCCAATTTCACCTCACCTTGTACAAGAAACCACAATTGTCTGTACAGAGTTGTGTCCCTTTGCTCTGCCCAAACCTTAAGATCCCAGAATTTGAGTTTTAGGCTTGTCAGTAGCATACACTTTCTCATATGTTTCAGTAAAGTGGTAAAGTCTGACTCATCCCTCACAAGTCAAGTCAAGTCAAGTTAGCTGACTGATACATTTGTAATACTGTTAAAAGCAGGTTAACACAAACTCTCTCAGTTAAACTCACTACAATCAGAGTTACAACTATTGTAGAGATACAATAGTTTTGTGCAGGTGGGCCCAGTAAATTCACTTGCATGTCTTCCTTAACTACATTCAGTTCTTCCTTTAAATTACCCCACATGTGTAAAATGTGTGAAGCCCGTTTCTGACAATTAAATTGCTGGAATATTGCTAAAAGTGGCATAAAACTAAACTCACTCACTCACTTTAAATTACCAGTTCCACCCAACCAACATGAAGATACTGGGCATAAGATATCCGATTTAAAGCCTTATTTCAGCTGGTGAGGCCGCCTCCGTGGTGTAGTGGTTAGAGCGTCCGCCTGGAGAGAGAAAGGTCGCTGGTTCGATCCCCGGCCGCGTCATACCAACCGACGTTTACAATATGGTTCTTGTTGGTCTTTGCCTGCCGTATTAATGGGTACAACAAGGACTGGTCGGCTCGGAGTCATTATAATGTGTCTGAGTGGCGTATTCATGCTTAACTGCGGCATTATATCTTAGTGAACTAGTACAAGCAGCCACACATACACACGCATGCACGTCATCATATGAGCAAAGTAATCTGAAGTACGACGTTAAACCCCATTTCAACTCACCTTCTGCTGGTGCCGGTGTGCCCCCAAGGTTGTGTGCCCCTTATAGATTGATACTACTGACCAGCGACTCGGGGTCTGCTAAGGATCACCACTTTAAAACTAATAGGTCAAACTATGTCAGTACGTGCTTATGTTGATTTTTTTAAAATTACCTTTTTATTACAGAAATCCCTGTTACGTATAGGGTAGCAGGAGCCCAATTGCATTAAAGAATTAAAAAGATAATTTCTGAGTTTTTGTTTTTTCATAACATCAGACATGGACATCACATTCGCTCACGGGGCGGTTGGGTAGCCTAGTGGTTAGATCGTTCGCTCGTCACATCGAACACCAGTGTTCAATTTCCCACATGGGTACAATGTGATGAGTCCATTTCTGGTGTGCTCTTCGTGATATTGCTGGAATATTGCTAAAAGCGGCGTAAAACCCAACTCACTCACTCATTCGCTCACACATTCACACTCTGTACTTATGTTGAAATTGCCAAAGACCACATTTTGCGTGAAGACGTAATGAAATGACGTCCGTTGTCGTGTGCTACACAATAATCTACAAAGAAGACAGACCAATAATCGGTCGCATCATCCGTCAAAATAAGATATGAAACCAAACTTGACCAAGTCCATATGGTCTCAGTTTGCACGTACTTGGAGAGCACGTGCCTTACTTTTGTTTGCTCCGCGAAGCAAGTGCCGTTCAAGCTGTCTGCTCAAACTCAACATGTCTTCAAACATTACGTTGTTATGCTGATCACGTCTTGTTTTGTGTTGTTGACGACTTGCATGTCGATAGGAAAACCTAAATAATGATCTTCACAGATTTTCAGCCAAGGTTTAAAAATACACACAATTTCTGTTTCTTGTTAACAATCCGATCCGGGTTAGAATTTATCTTCTACAACCCATGCTTGTCGTAAGAGGCGACTAACGCGATCAGGTGGTCAGGCTCGCTGACTTGGTTGACATGACACATGTCATCGTATCCCAATTGGGTAGATCGATGTTCATGCTGTTAATCACTGGATTGTCTGGTGCTGACTCAATTATTTACAGACCGCCGCCATATAGATGGAATATTGATGAGTGCGGCGTAAAACTAAACTCACTCACTGTTAACAATCCCAAAGCCTTCTGCCAAGCTTATCATTAACGGTGTTCAAGTACAAGAAGTTTTTCTTAACTGATGCCTATGTTCTATTTTCTAGGGCAGATGCCCTTGGTAAAATAATATTCTATAATTCATTCTGAATGAAATTGTACGAAACATTTTTGTTATGTTTTCAAAGCAAAATCCACGAAGAAACACATAAGTAAAGCTCAATTGCTGACATACTTACTTTTCTGAATAGCTGCCTCGTGCATCGTGGGGGAGGTGGGGTAGCCTAGTGGTTAAAGCGTTCGCTCCTCACGCCGATGACCCGGTGAGATTCCCCACATGGGTACAATGTGTGAAGCCCATTTCTGGTGCAAACACACACACACACACACACACACACACCTCTTCCCGGAATATTGCGAAATGCGGCGTAAAACCATACTCACTCACTCACTCGTGCATCGTAATCCAGGTGACACGGCCCTTGCACCATCTGGTGAAACATTTGCTGCAGTTTTCATCAGGTGTCGGTACATATTAGATATCCATGTTTAACAAAACTGTATCAGTCAAATGATATATTATAACGTAATTACTCGGGGATACAAAGGTTAGTAATCTGTTTACAAACCCCCATATTTCTTAGAAGAAAAAGTGTCATATTTAGTTACACGTTGTAGATGGCGACATCAAAATGCTTTTTAAAGCACACAATCAGAAATGTGTATTATATGTTTGATGTGTTTGTATGATTTTCGCGATTGATCGAGCTTTCAGAAAGATTCGAATTGCACCTTAATATCTTTGCCCCTCTACATCATGTTATTCTTTAACGGAATGACGTTCACGCGGATATGCCCCCGAGTGAACACAGCAGCGTTTTGGCCATAAACCCCCTTCCCCCTCCCCCCTGTACAAACACATGTATTACAGCTATTGTCTTTACGATATCCGTAGTGGAGGAGAAGTGTGTCACATGGCGGTTTGGGTGTTAACAAGGTCGTTGAGCCTTTAATTGGTGTGTTGTGAAGATCAGCCCCAGTGTTGACTGCATTACGGCGCGTGGAGTCTCCATCCCATACTCTCATAACAGATCCAAGCTACTTGATGTCTTCATCCACTAAGCGTCTATTAAAGTAACAATCACTGACTTTTATACAAAGGTAATCAACAATGGGCAATTAATTTGATCAAGATCACGAGAAAGGTATAGTTAATATGTTTTGCCATTATACCAATAAGTTAGTATTCTCCGAAATTAACAGTTCTGTCAACAGTTCTGTGTTGCATCTCGCCTTCACTGAGAAGGGGTGCAGTATATTAACGCTGGTCTGGGTGCTACCCACCATCACTTGGATTCCAACACAACTGATTCTCAACACAGAGCTTTGAGGTAGGTTCATGGTCGTGTCATAGAAATGGTAAGGATAATAAAACGACTTTTTTTTCCATCTTCGTCATCAGTTTAATGGGAGCATTTATTACATAAGGTGATTCATAAAGTGAAATATTTAGTCTGTAACGAGCAAGCCCAGGATTGTTTTCACTTTTGATTTAGTAAAGGGTTGGAGTTTAGAACGGTATTTCGCCATCCTCAACACTGTACAAATAGAACTGTGTAATGTGATGATCGACGGAAATTAAGCCATGTACTGATGTTAATAAAATAACTCTTGGGAAAATATAAAATGAAACCTCATTTTACCTACAGATATATTGATGTTAATGGATTATATATGTTATGTTTTTAGTTGCTGTACTGATCTTGAAGACATGGAGAGCCAACCAGACAGAGATGACATTCTGGACAGGTGCGTGTTTCTTTAAACCGGAATACAGAACTTAGGGCACAAACTGCCTTTGGCAATAATATTGCCTAATATTCCACACATCACCGTGGATAGGGGAACATTTTTAGATACAATATAGTTTGATGAATCTACTGCAACTCTGTTCTCGTTTGTACAAGAAACATGATTATGCGTCTACGATTGGATTACAACGTGTCTGTTTCATATCTTTAGGTGTTCCAGCGACCCAGACTCGCCAGTCTTCCTGGAGGTTCCCGCCACTCACTGGCAGCAGAAGTCGCATGTAGGCAGCAGACGCCCTGGAACCATTCCAACCGGCGTCAGTTCCTGCATCCCGCGTTACCGTTTGCCCAGCGAGGACGACGACGCGTTCGCCCCAGACATCGTCTTCCAAACCAGAGGCACCAAACGCAGTCGTCTTGATAGTGACGATGACGTCTTCTTTCAGCCCCGAGCCCGGCTCACTGGTGAGAGTACACCTTTGTATCCACGAGCACGGCTACCCAGCGACAGCGACTCATCATCAGTGTTCTACCCGAGGCATCGACGACGTTTTCGAGGAAGACAGAACACGCCCTTGCTGCAGCGCCCACGAGACTCCTCCAGTATCCAGCTTGACAGCTCCCAGTACACAGCAGACGATACACCAGACCCCGCCTTCAAGACTCCCTACTCCAGACCCCCAAGACGTCGGAGCAGTGAAGCTTCCAGCGCCTTCCCAAACAGCACAAGGTACGGTTAGGTTGGAGAAATGGTTTAGATTTTAACCACAGCTATCGAACTGCCGCTCTAGATAGTCTTCTAGTCTGGAGTTAGTGAAATTCATTAACGACTAGTTGTCTCAACTTCAATTTTACGTCGCACAGACAAAGACACACAGTTGTGGCCAACAATGGCATTAATCCGTATCTAGAATATTCCAATGTCACGGGATGTTTCATAAAGACAATACACGAGTCAGTATTTGGTACATGAAAATCTAAATCTAAGGACCTAGGTAGTGTACCCCGGTATACCCAATATCCGTGTGACTGGGCTTCTGATTGGGCATGTATTTAGTTTTGTGTTAACATAGTGGTGTTTCTGTTGCCAGATGCACGTCTAATGACTACCCAAGCCACAGTACTAACCTCTCGGAACCTCCACGAGTGACCAGGACACCATTTGCGTGGATCTCACCCAACCTATCAGGCGTCTCTCCGCAGGATAACATCATCCCAATGTCAAGGAACAGCATAACCGACGTCAGGCAACGCCTTTTCCGACAGGTCTTCTCATTCTCGTCTGCGTCCAGCGACACCTCCGTACCTAACAACGCCAACATGACCTTCAACCCTGCTTCTGCACCCACCACATCGTCTCCAAAGACATTGATGAGGAGCCTAATCTGGCGGAGAGCATCTTGTCAGAAGAGATGAGACCCGACTCTGGATTTTCAAGTCTCCCATCCTTTGACGGCAAGACCTGTTTCAACCAGTACCAGAAGCGCTTCGAGGACAGACTAGTTGATGTCATGGTGAATATTCTGGCTAAGGTTGAACCTATCTCAGATGTGCCGCATCGAGACTCGGAGCGATCCAAGACCGTGAAATCAACTCCCAGTCTACCGGATATCTCGCCATTTCCAGCCCCGATTGGCTTCCAGTCGCCCGAAGAGATTTGTGTCTACTCAGCTGTCCCGGCATCATCTTCTCCAGTTGACGACGTCTTTTCCTCTTTGCCGCCAACACGTCTGCAATCTACAGCCGTCTCTGCTACGCCATCGTCGAATTCAGCATCCTTTTCCAACATCTCTGACATTTTAACAGACTTTTTAGACTTTTTCCCTGATGCCCCACCTCCATCACCATGTTCCTCAGTCTTCACACTTCCAGGATCTCAATCTTCAATCTCCTCTGACGTCCTCTCTTCAACATCGACGCCATCCCCACAGCTACATCACGACAACAAGCAGCAGCAACCATCACCATCACCCGTCTTTAGTCATCTCGTGGACCCGACCTCGAAGAAATCCAGAGAGTGCAAGATCTGTCACAAGATCCTGGCTAGCGCCTCAAACCTCCGGATTCACATGCGCATCCATACGGGGAACGTCCTTACCTTTGCCTATTCTGCTTCAGAGACTTCCGGGACCGTACAACCTTCCGACGCCATGAGAGGCTCCACACCGGCAAACCATTCGGGTGCAAGGCTTGCAGCAAGGCCTTCGTTACCAGGAGCGATCTGAGACATCACATAAACAAACACCACAGTAGCTAAAGATGGACCATTGGAGTACTGGTTGACATACCCAAATTTACTTGAGATTATGTCTTGTGTCTCATTAGGGATCTTGTAGCTACTCGTGGCTATGATGTTTCTTGGCAACGGTTGGCGGCCTGGGTTAGGGCATGACCAAGAGCATCCAGAACTGAGACTTACTCTTGTGTAACTTCTTCACAGAGAATCCATGTATCACATAGTGAATCAATTGATCTAATCATGATACCAACTGATGTCCATCCAGTTCTCCGTATGTATATTTCCTGACGGTGTATATATTGCCATCTCCCTCGATTGTATGTATGTATATATACCTTTATGTATATACTTGAATGTTCAAAATACAAAAAATACGAAATAACCTTGTTTCTTTGACGTTATTTTCCCCATGCTGCGTTGTGAATTGTATCCTCAGTACCAAAACCATGTAACTTCACAGACTCCGGAAGTCTTTTGACATTAGTTAAGTAATCCTATTGATAATACAAACTTGTTCAGAGCGTATTTACAGCTGAGGGCAACATCAACACATTAAATCATGGATACTCACACAAGATCAAAATATGAAAAAATATATTTATTTTACAAACTCATATATAAATGATTGCTATTAACAATGCTGATAAGTGTACTGTTATGATCATACAATTCAAACATGAGACATTCTAACATAAGTAACAAACACAACAGTGTTAAGCTCATAACAGTATCATAGCGGATGACCTCAACAGCAGTGACCATGGCAGTGTGTGTATGATGCTGGCTGGAAATGGCAGGAAATGATATGTATCCCACATAGTTGGTCAGTCTTTATCTGCCTAATCAATACAGTGCTATCACCAAGGTTTGGTTTGTTTGTTGTTTAACTCCACACTCAGCAATATTCCAGCTCTATGGCAGCAGTCTGTAAATAATCCAGTCTGGACCAGACAATGCAGTGATCAACAGCATGAGCATCGATCCATGCAACTGAGATACAATGACATGTGTCAACCAAGTCAGCAAGCCTGACCACCTGATCCTGTTAGTCGCCTTTTACAATCACCAATACAAGGACAATGGTGGTCTACTAGGCCGTGTTCTGGCAAAGACGCTGTATTGCCATCCATCTGAATATGGGTATCTGTACTCCAGTTAGTCTTGAGGTGCACGGTGTATTGGCAGTGCTTGACACTGAGTGTCAAAAGAGGTCTTATTTCTTATGAAACTCAGTCTGTATGATCAGTCATGGCTAGTTTGAATTCGTGGATAAAATGTGAGAGAAAAATCACTTCCACATATTCATTGTTTTGCTCAGTTTAATTAAGGAAAAACATCTTTTGTGATGAATACTGTGTAGATTTTAGGTTAAACCATACTAATTAAAGTATTTTCCAGAGCAATAATGCCACATTCCAGAGCAATAATTGATATTTTTGTCATACACCCTCTGGCCATGTGCTCCACTCTCTCCTGATTTAGCTTGAGCCCAACACTTGAATTTACAGGAAATCCAAAGTGTTATGTGGGGAGGATGGGAGGGCTAACCTCATGAGTCAGGATAAGTATAAAATATCAATTTTACTCTAAAATTACATATTTTTCCTTATCCTGACTCATGCTCTTTGCTTGTAGCATCCTACACGAACAGGTGGGTAACAGAATACTTTGGATTTATAATTAGTGATTTTGTATAGATATACTGTAATATCCCCTACGGGGAACTTCATGAAGCCTTAGATTTAGGATGTTTCCTGTATAAAGAAACCATAGGTTATATAAAGCCATTAAAGGGAATTACATTATGAATATATTGAACAATACATATAAATTATATATATATATATATATATAGGTGACTCTGATAGAGGCACTGAAATTGACTATATCCAAGTATATGCTTAAGGTTGAATACTTAAGCTGAACATATATACATAGCCCTAAAACTCCTTAGAGTTATAAGCTAGATGAGTGTGTATAAAATACATATTAATCTTGTGAGGCTAATATTTTAACGCCTCTCTGAGGGACTGTCAGTTGCTGGCGAGGACCAGTGGTCGAAATGGTGAATGCCAGAGACATCTTCTGTAGTGATGTCTCTTAGGTAGTGATTAGCAAATACCATGTTAGATTTCAATAGCATCCTTCCATAATCGTGTTCAAGGAACAGTTACCGTGTAGGCGAGGGTAGAGGCCAGTGCCCTGATCTCATGTGGATTTGATGCTGTTGGTGGGTCCAAGCCTGCTGCCTTGTAGGCACGGAGAATGACAGTCCTTATCCAAATAGATATTGTGGTCCGTGACACTTCTGTTTGATTCGTAGGCGATAATGGGATGAATAAACGTTTGAGAAATCTTCTCCTTGTTTTGGATCGTCGTAAATAAACTTTGAGCGCTCTTACGGACACAGTGATAGGTCTTGTGTATCTTGTGATCCGAGAATAGAGGATAGCCGAATGTGGAATAATCTGTCTGGTTGACCTGGCAGTTGATTTTTGCAATGAAATCCCATCTTAATCCGAGTGCGCTGTGTTATGATTGTCATCAAACTGTATCCTCTCAGTAATCCAGAGCGTGAATTTCAGACATTCTTGCTGCTGTGGCTAGCGATAGCAGAAACAATGTTTTCTGTGAGAGAAATTCAAAGTTTGTCGATTCCAAGGGTTCATAGACCTCACTCGTGAGGTGTTGTAACACTACATTCAGATCCCAAGCTGGGGCGTGGAACTTCCGCTTTTGGTCCTCCAATCGAACGGCTCGTTAGTAAGGCCAGTAACTCTGGAGATCTTGTCAATTTGACACCCGTTCTCATGGTGATTACAGAGCTAAGCGGCGGCAAGATATGTTGATATCGTTGAACCTTTTAAATGTTTGTTTTGGCGTAGTAGTAACACAAATAGTCTGCCACTTGAGGTTGTGAAGCCTCTCTTGCTGTAAACCCTTTCTTTGTTGCATAATTTTGAAACTGTGCCACTTGTCGTCGTACAAGTTACGAAGTTGAGTAACGTAAAGCGTGACTGCTTTTGCCGCCCTGGCAGAATATCCTCTCTTGTTTAAACACATTTGTATACAGTCCATACGTGTAGTTGGAACATTGCTGGGTTTCCGTGCACTTGTTTGGTGTGAGGATGAATTAACAGGGTTCTTGGCGGGTAGCTCCAGTGTTGGTTGACCGATTTCTTGAATTAGTATGGGAAACCACGTTCTGGCCCGACCAGTAGGGCTAGCGACCAAAGTGAGTTGTAGGCTCTGTGTTTGTCTGATTTTCTGTAATACTTGAGGTATTATTGCTGGCGGCGAAACGCTGCGTCACGCATTGAGGCCTTCCATGATAGACTTAGAGCGTCCGCGCCCAAGCTTGGGGGTCTGGGACTGGTGACACGAATGTCGGTAGCTGATTGTTGAATCGCGTGGCGAATAGGTCTATTAGCGGCTCCTAATTGCTTGATTATCTGTGCAAAAATTTCTGTTGATCATCCACTCTGTCGGTGATGGTAGATGAGGGCCGAGAGAGAGCCGCCTGCTAGTATATTTCTGGCTCGGGAATGTGCACTGCTCTGACATGTAGATTTAGATCTTGTATTAAATCAACAGTTGAAAGCTTAGGTTCAAAAGGTTCATCGATCTCGTTGAGCCTTGCTTGTTTATGTAGAACGCCACTGTCGAATTGTCTGTATGGATCATTAGTAGCATTTTGTAGAAATGTGCTCCAATGTAGAATGGCGTTGATTACAGCTTTCATTTCTAGACTGTTTATATGGAGTTTGCATTCTTGCTGATTCCATAACCCTGATATCGTGTGGTTGGTGAGATGAGCTCCCCAACCTTGGAGTGGCGCTACATACAGATGGGTTTGTATTCCTGCTCTGCTAAACAAATCCCTCGCAGACATTCGATTTCTTGGTCCACCATAGTAGATGTGGTCTGAGATGTTTCGTAGACTGAATGGTTGTACATCGTTGAGATGTGTTGATGAGGACCTGTAGGGGCGTAACTGTAATCTGCCTGTGACAGTCATGTCTTGGGCTGATGTGAGAAGACCTAGTAGGCTCTGCCATTGGCGAGTGGTAACGGAGAGTAGAGCTGGTGGAATGGTCTGTTGTATCTTGAAGCCAACGGTCTTCTGGTACCATAATACGGTTGCGATTTGTGATGAATCGAATACCTAGGAACTGTAGGTCTTGGCGATGGTACTAGGTCCGACTTGCGTAAGTTTACTAACCAACCTAGTTGTGTTAGTAGCTTTATGATGTAATTTAACTGTAGTTTGAGACGCAGTGGATCTTGATCTACTTGTATCCCGTCGTCGAGGTAAAATGCACTCGTGAGCCCTTGACGATGTAGAAATTTGATAATCGGTTTCGTTATCCTCGTGAATAGCCAGGGGGCTGATGATATTCCGAATGGGAGTACTTTCCACTGGTAATGTAGCCCTTCTAGAGTAAATCGTAGGTATTTCCTGGAATCGGGATGAATGGGGATGTGCAAGTAGGCATCCTGTAGATCTATGCTGCCCATGTAGTCCATAGGGCCGAATCATCTGGCGTAACTGAGGTAAATGTATCATGCGAAACTTCGGTGGTTTTCGTGAGATAGTTCTTGTTGAAAAAGCTCATGTTGTAGATGAGTCTGTATTTCTCCGTGGAGTTTTTCTTGGGAACTAGGAAAACTGGGGAGTAGAAACCTGGTTCGATGTTTGCTTGATCTATTACTTCTATGGCCTGCTTGGATAGGAGTGATGAAACAGCCTCTTTTATCTTTGGTAGTTGTTGCGCTTGTAAATCGAACTTGGGGGGTTTGATTGTCAGCGGAGGCTTGGCCTGTAGAGGGATACGAAATCCGTGTTGAATAATGTTGGAGACGTAAGGATCTTGCAGTATTCCCCAGTTTTCCCAGTGTAGTTGGAGGCGTCCACCCACTTGAGCTGGTTGTACTGGAACGGCTGGGGGTGGAAGACTCCAGTCGTTCCGAACCTGTGTTTCAGCGTCTATAATTGCGGGAACCTCTGGGTGTCTGCCTCTTCCTGATCCTCCTCTATAGTTGCCATATGGGCGTGAAAAGAATCTTTACCTCTAGAGCTGGCTATCTTCCTTTCTCTTGCTCTTTGTAGGCCCGTGAACTTAGATCTGCCTGAGTATCTTTGTGAAGTCTGACCTAATGACGCTGGCTAGTGTGTCCATTGATCTAATCATAAGGACTTCCCTGGAATCCTTAGAGACTTCCTTGGCGACCTTGTCGATTTCTCCGTCAAAGATGGATGTTGTCGACCGCACGGGCTGTATAAAGTGGGGCTGTAAAGTTCTCCCCAATTACAGGAGGCGAGGAGGCCTTGACGACGAGCTAAGGTCAGTGCTGCTGAAACAGATGTAAGATGATCCGTTAAAACTGCTGATCTTTCTTTTGCATAAGTAAGGCAGAATAAATCATTCTATCATCTTCCGTCGTGGAATCGGAATCTAGTAATAAGAGTCTCATTGATCGTCCTAGATCTATTTAACCCAAAGAACATCGTCTCGTCATGGTTTCTATATGAGCCAACTGCGATCATCCATCTTGTAAATCTTGTTCTTTACATCGCTGATGATCTTATAGTTCTCATCGATGTCCTGGGCCTTGTAGAAGGAGTCCATGTTATGCGTGGAGAACTTCTTGGCTTGAAAGTTGGGCAGATGTGGTATCTGAACTTTCGTAGCTTTCTGGAAAGCTGCATCTAGATTCTGTGGCACTGCCGCAATCGGGTCGATCGGGGGTAGAGTGATTGCATCTGGATCATCTTCCTTCATCAAATACGTCTGAGCTGTATTGCCACTTTTAGATGGTGATGTGAGATCTAGGTTATTGACCATCCAATACCGTATCTCTGCATCAGAAAATATGATTCCTCCATCATCCTCAAAACCATCATCATTAATAAATTGTAGATGCTCTTCGGGACTGCGTGTAGCTGTCTGTATATCTGATGAGGTTTGTGGCGATCTAGTTGACTTGTGCGCCGCTCTATGTGGAGATCTGATGGGTGATCGACCTGGTGATGAACGGAGTGGAGATCGTCTATGGGATGATCTTCTCGGAGACTTGTGAGGTGAATGTTGATAGCTTCGCGAAGCTCTTCGGCAGTCCCTCGATGTTCTTCTAGATGATGAAGATCTGGAATCATATGTCCTTCGCGAATGCCTTCGCGAAGCTTCATTTGCGTCCGGTCCGGGGGATCGATGATATGACCTTCGCGAAGGCTTCCGTGATGTCTGATGGTCTGAGTCCATATCTAGAGATGAAATCGAAGATGGTGATGATCTCTCCCCGCCTTTGCGAAGGCCTTGAAAGCTGTACATCTAGGTCGCCGTCAAGGTGGTGCGGGGACTTCCTTCGAAGGTGACATCGTCTTGGCTGCTACGTTGACGGGGGTGCCTCTGGGGTGCTGTCTCACGTTGGAGCCTTCGCGAAGGCTTTCGGACCTACTAGCGCCAGTTTGTAGTGGTCCTCCATGATGTTCATAATCTGCGCATCATGTCTTCTGGGATGATCTGTGGCGAAGTCGCCGGGCGATCTTTTCTGCGATGGGGTTCACATCAATGGCGTCTGGCGTCGGTGTAGAGGCATCAGGCTGCATGGAGATCTCTGCAGAAGTCACAGTCGCTGACACGGTCGCTTCTTCTGCCGTAAGTCGGGGATGATTATCGGCTGATCATCGTAGAGGCCCAACTCTGCTGCTGGAGCGATCTCGGCTGAGAAAGTTCTTGCTGTCTTCGTGAGATTTCCCTTTGGAAGTCTGCTGCCCTGGGTGTCCTCAATCTGCGTTGAGACGCACGATGAGGCCCTCTTAGACTTAGTCTGCAATGGCGGGATGTCTGGGAGGCCGGTCGTTTCTTCGAAGTAACGGACTCGTCCCGTTCCTCTGCCGCAGGGTCTCTAGCAGAACACCAGGCGGGAGAGGGTCGAGATCGCTAGCAGCTGACTGGAAGGAATATCTGGACTCTCTGCCATGTTTTGCCCTTGTTTGCGTGATCTATCTGCAGCACGTCTTAAGAGCCTAAAAGATGATATTTATTAAATGCAGAATGAGATAAATTAATGCAGTAACTGCAACGTGAATTAAACGCACCACGGCAGTAGAACAACTAGGGCATATTACATGTGGATCGGAGGCAGAAAACGCGTAATCTACAAATCGTACAGATTTTCATGAGCGTAAAGCTAGCTGAACAATCCGAATACACGTGAATAAACAGTAGAAATCGATAATTAATCAATACAAATAATAAAGGATACTAGCTATACCTCTATAGTAACCTATGAGAGGTAAAAACTAAGAGATTATCAAAGGATATGTGTGTAAGGAGACAAAAGGCGCTCTCACATCCTGCTCACTGGGCGAAGAAGGAGAGAGTGAAGCACATGGCCAGAGGGTGGCGACACCTTTTCCCGCCAGGGGAGACAAAGGGGAGCAACTCGTGGTGAGTACCAATTAGTGATTTTATTTTGAAGGGAGCTTCAAATAAGGAGATACAAGTGTTCCACTATGTTAGCAAGAAGAAGAAGACAAGCAAAAGAGCATGAGTCAGGATAAGGAAAAATAAACATATTTTGGAAATTGTATTGGTATGGTATACTGGAAAACTGTGCGGTCCTATTCACTATTCACTTGATCCCCTATTCACTTGATCCCTGAATTAGATTCATCGCTTGTAAATCAAGGAATATATTGCTAAAAGCGGCGTTAAACCATACTCACTCACTCACTCGTAAATCAAATTCCAGTTCCTAAGGCAACATGAGGAGCTTTGTCAGTTAACAAGAACTAGTAATTAAGAGTACTTGCAACAGTTCAGGTCAGACACTTCATCTGGACAGCAGGAACTACCCTGTGCAGGTCTCTTTGTGATGCATGTTTACTACCTGGGGAGTCCTGGCTGGCTGTTACACATCTTCATGTAATTATCAACACTGACACAGTATTTTATGTAGCTTGTATCAAGCATGATGGAATGCAGTCAACTGAAAACATTAATTATCCTAAAGCAACTTAACAGGCACTCATTCATGCTATACAATTCTGACATCTTGCCAGTGAGACAAGTTTCCTATGATGTCATCAAAACCACACAGACACATCAATCTTTCCAAATACTTCCAAATGTCTACAAAAAACCCCAAAAGAATGAAACCTGAAAAGAACAGATTTTCGATTAGTTTATGAGAGTTATGTCCCTTTCTGAAAAATGTTTGACTTGGTGCAGCCATTGTTCAGCTCCACAGTAGAAACCATTGGTCTGTGAGTACCATCAGCTCGGCCGGCAGTCCATGTCCCCATCACTGGTAGCTTTCATCTTCTTGAACTCTTCCTGCAGTTGTTTCTCTATATCCAGTATTTCTTTGGGTTTTTTATACTGTGAAAAATTAAGCATAGAATAAAATATTGTGGTTGAGGAATGAATGAATGAATGAATGAATGAATGAATGAATGAATGAATGTTCTTTATTTCCACCAATGGTTTGGAGAGTTATACATCCAGTTATGTATATATTTTTGACAAAATGGAAAGTTCAATAATATTTGAAACATTCAACAGAACATAAGAAATCATAGCTCTTGGCAACAGATGATCACTGGGCAATATCTACAACGCATTGCATGCTATTCTTATAAATACAGAATGCTGGCTAAGTTCCATGCACTGATGCGTTTTGCAATAATGCTCATGAACCTAGCCCAGCTATCAAGGGTCATGTCCTGCACAACCGGAGTAATGGAACCAAGGTATGTGAGGATTTTAACCTCGTCTTCAGCATCTTCGAGTCTCATATACGTGTCAAGAGACACGTTATCAAACAGATGCTCGCTCAGTGCGTTCCTGTTTTCTACCAGCTTGTCACAGTATAGGAGTTGATGTTTTACAATGTCCTCACTTTCAGTCTCGCATATAAGACACAGTCCAAGTGTGACGGGCAGTATACCCAACTTTATCAGAGCAAATGGCACCAAAATCTATGCATATTCGGAGAACAGAAAATCTTTAAAATTTATCATGTCATTACAATCACTGCTCAATTCAGACATCAGTGATATCAGCAATCAAACTAGTGAGAATGGCTTAATGTCTAAACTTTGTTGAATAACATCAAACAAATTTCTTCTAAAAATGTCAAACAAGCAAAATCGAACCTACTGATATTATAAGTGTGTTATTGGCATGAGCCAAGTGGATCTGATCAGCTGACAATTTCAGTCCCAAGCGCTCCATGTCTGGGATGTTAAACTTCTTGTAGTATCTGAAATCACAGCAGAACAAGTAACGTAAACTTTCTTATGTGGCTCCAACATTTAATGAACTGAGGAACAAAAACTGAAAATTAAAAAAATCAGAATTGACAGAATATACATTTATAAACACAAAAATGACCTAGTGCGTCTTCTTTATGTGAGATGAAAACCTAATGTCACACATGTACTAGTCATCTGCCACATATTGTTGGCATCCAATGATTATATTTGGTGCCAACAGAGACCATATGATAGATGGTCTTTGGTGCCAGTCTTGGATTCAACTCTGATCACCACATCGAACATCTAAGGGACATAACTCTGTATGGCACCATAGATGACTGGCAAACCACTAGAAAAATGTGTGAAAGTATGGCCAAAGTAGGTGAGTGAGTTTGGTTTTACACCGCTTTTAGCAATATACCAGCTATATCATGACGGGGACACCAGAAATGGACTTCACATATTGTACCCATGTGGGGAATCGAACCCGGGTCTTCGACATGACGAGGGAATGCTTAAACCACTAAGCTACCCCACTGCCCCGTATGACCAAAGACAACCTGAGCAACCACAATGATTCCTAACAGGACCATGCAATATCTAGAGTTATTTACCAGCTGTGGTCAAAATATCTTATCTGACTTTGCTATGAAAGTCTCAGTAAAACAAGTTGACCAATAGGCCTGTATTTTTATAACAACATGTACAACGTCGTTTATATTTGGTAGGTCATGAGACCTTTCTTCTGTTCATTGTTGTTTAATGCCTGCTGCAATATTCCAGTTATATGTTGTCAGTATGTACATAAATCTGGACCAGATAGTACAGTGACCCATCACAGTTATATGTTGTCAGTATGTACATAAATCTGGACCAGATAGTACAGTGACCCATCACAGTTATATGTTGTCAGTATGTACATAAATCTGGACCAGATAATACAGTGACCCATCACAGTTATATGTTGTCAGTATGTACATAAATCTGGACCAGATAGTACAGTGACCCATCACAGTTATATTATATGTTGTCAGTATCTGGACCAGATAGTACAGTACATAAATCTGTTGTCGACCAGATAGTACAGTGACCCATCACAGTTATATGTTGTCAGTATGTACATAAATCTGGACCAGATAGTACAGTGACCCATCACAGTTATATGTTGTCAGTATGTACATAAATCTGGACCAGATAGTACAGTGACCCATCACAGTTATATGTTGTCAGTATGTACATAAATCTGGACCAGATAGTACAGTGACCCATCACAGTAATATGACCCATCACAGTTATATGTTGTCAGTATGTACATAAATCTGGACCAGATAGTACAGTGACCCATCACAGTTATATGTTGTCAGTATGTACATAAATCTGGACCAGATAGATAGTTATATGTTGTCAGTGACCCATCACAGTTATATGTTGTCAGTATGTTGTGACCCATCACAGTTATATGTTGTCAGTATGTACATAAATCTGTAATACAGTGATTATATGTTGTCAGTATGTACAGTAATACAGTGACCCATCACAGTTATATGTTGTCATAAATCTGGACCAGATAGTACAGTGACCCATCACAGTTATATGTTGTCAGTATGTACATAAATCTGGACCAGATAGTACAGTGACCCATCACAGTTATATGTTGTCAGTATGTACATAAATCTGGACCAGATAGTACAGTGACCCATCACAGTTATATGTTGTCAGTATGTACATAAATCTGGACCAGATAGTACAGTGACCCATCACAGTTATATGTTGTCAGTATGTACATAAATCTGGACCAGATAGTACAGTGACCCATCACAGTTATATATTGTCAGTATGTACATAAATCTGGACCAGATAGTACAGTGACCCATCACAGTTATATATTGTCAGTATGTACATAAATCTGGACCAGATAGTACAGTGACCCATCACAGTTATATATTGTCAGTATGTACATAAATCTGGACCAGATAGTACAGTGACCCATCACAGTTACAGTACAGTTATATGTTGTCAGTATGTACATAAATCTGGACCAGATAGTACAGTGACCCATCACAGTTATATGTTGTCAGTATGTACATAAATCTGGACCAGATAGTACAGTGACCCATCATGAACATCAATCAACACAATTAGGGTGCAATAACATACATGAACCAAGTAAGTAACCACAACCACCTGTTAGTTGACAAGCATGGGTTGAAGAAGCATTTCAGGAAGAGATTGAAGTGAGTACAAGTGTTACGCATGCTTAAGATAATCATGTAATGGTTCTGATATTGGTAAGAATCAGTCTTTTGCAATCGAGGGTTGTCATAAGAGGCATCTAATGGAATTGTGTTGTCAGGGCTGCTGACTTGGTTGATACATATCTCCATCAATGTACCTGATGTCCGTCACTGGATCATCTCTTCCAGATATTTACAGACCACCTCTCTTAACTGGAATATTGTTGAGTGCAATTTTAAACAACAACAAAAATGGACTGTTCTTACTTTTTGTTTGTTGTTCTGATGATGACCTGTGTGGAGGAATCATCTAGGCTAGCATTGTATGTCTCAACAGGGTAGGGCAGGTTTCTCACTCGCCACTGGAACTTGCTCTTGATGTCTTTCCTGACAAACATTGGCTGCAAAGGGAGAGCTTAATTAGTTTTTATGAACAATATTGAAGTAACATTAAATCACCCCCTCAAACATAATGTGGATGAAACTAAAGAGGTAAACCTTTTTAAACACTTACAAAACTTTCTTTACTTTTTTATGCTATCTTCAGCTCTAACAGGCAGAATAGTGGGTGAGGATGATTTAGCGCTGCTTTCATTAGTATTTCCGTTTCTGGTATATCAAAGCGTAAATGAGGGAGGAAAACCTCAAGGGATGCAGGTCTAAGACAACTTTGGTGAAACCCACAAGTTCTGACTGACAAACCTAGAATCATAATTCAGGTGAGACAAGATTCAGACCAAGAACTATATCTTGTGCCCAAGGGATGTCACTCTGCAAAGCAATTTGCAGCAGCTTAGACGAGTGGGCCCCTAGATGGCAATAGTGATCATATTGATGAATGACTTACTGTTTCATCAATGCTGCCTTAACATCATTCTGTCCCGGTACAAAAGTGAGTGATACCACGTTAACCACCCAACTATGTAGGATGAAGATTCATTGTAGCCATCCAATAATCATTATTTCAATTCTTCCACAAATATTTCACACTATATCAGATGGTATCTGACTGGTGACAGATGAATCTATGTTGTGTTGGAGTAAGTGGTTGTGATTAGTAATACACAGAAACCTGTACAGATATGTGACTTACATTGCTGCTACTTTCCACTATGCCCTCCATTTCCAGCATCCGGGGCACACCTTCCTCTCCCACCTCTGTCTCCCACTTGCCTGCCCCGCCCAGCTTCCCTTGACGACGCCATCGACGAACTATTTTCAAACAAAAATAAATACATGTACATATTCAGTCTCTACAAAAGGAAACTGCCTCTATGTAATACAAACAAAATCATGCAACAAATAAAAAATGAAAGACCATTTTAAGACGTGTATGTAGTAATTATTGCCTTTTTGGTTGGTTGCAATATTCCAGCTTTTTAATGTGGACTGAAGACAATTGAGTCTGAACTGGACAATCAAGTGACTGATGTCATAAGCCTCAGTCTGTGATATCTGTCAACTGAGTCGACTGGGAAATTGACACATTTTAGTGGGACACATCTGTGTACAAATGATGATAAATATTGAAGAAATTTCAAAGGGACTAAAGGGTGAATTCAAGACAAGGAATTCAGCATATCCCAGTTCGATACAACAAAGTTCTATTGCAGTAAAGTGTAAGCCACAATTTCAAAATCATAATAATACGTAACATAGACACAGGATACTGACTCCAAGATGACCTGTCCTTGTTTCCTGTTTTTTTAATGGTCTTTGTGTTACTTACCGACAAGCTCGCTGGTCTGAAGGTCATATTCCTCTGTCATCTCTGCCCCATCTTTAAAGGTGAAGTGTATCTTCCTTCTGCCTACAATTCAATAAAACAGATTAACTTTTAGTACAATTAGTCACACACATTATTGGTGATGATTGCGTTTGATAATATAAAGAAAAGGTATGCATATCCTCTCAACTTAAATAGGCATCCAGTTAGAAACATGTCAACTTTGCCTGTAGTGAGATCAACAGTGCCCTGGGCAGAATTTCAATTAAATCATCAAGATCATGTCTTCTTACAGTCTGATAAAAGCATGCAGTGACCCAGATAGGAGACATTTACCACTTACCAGAACCAAACAAGTAAAGTAATAATCAGGATTGAATCAGATTGAAATCCACAACTGTCTGTACAGATTATTTATTACAAGGAAAACTCAAAAGGTTATTCAAAATGTCTAGCACTTCAATTTGACAGTGGATGATAGATACTTTACAGCATCTGAAAAAACATACCAAGGGCCTGCACACAAATAAAAACTAACACTAGTTAAACCAATGAAGTTTCAACATAATTTTTACTGGGAAAGTTTCCCCAATGTTTGTCTTATTGGTTCTTCTCATATGCCTTCTCACAGGCCCAATACAATGTCATGACATAAGAGCATGGTGATTGGCAAAAGCAGTGCATGTAAGGATGTGAAATTCTATAAAATAAACCTGACCCACGTAATTTTGTAAAGGTATTTTCAGATAGTCCACCGAGTAAATATCCAGTCGGGCTAGTAAATCGCCACAGTCACTGGCCCGACTGGCTAGTGAATTTTCATGGGTCATTATGTAAATATATCACTCTCTCTGACTTGTTAAGTTATAACACACTTTTAAATCATGCAAGATTATGGCCTGATAAAAATTTCACCATATTAGCAGTTTAATGATGAAACCTGTGTCTACATTCAGTTTTCGGACTAGTGAATTACTTTGTGGGTTAGCAACTCTCAGGCACAGCTAGCCCGGCTGGCTAGCAAAATTTTGAAACTATTTCGCACGCTGCTGTCGTGGTACCTAATCGGCTGTGTGCGGTCAAGCCAGCAACGGAGTTCTGTAGAGTAAGAAGTAGGTATATCGCAAGACAAATTCTTAGGTATCGTTTCAATGTTCTCTCGTGCCTCCTTCAGGCTTGATCCCTATGGTTAGTTTAGGCAGGGATACTCTATATAGTCTCCCTGGTTTAGGGCACTGGGTAGGGCAGGTTATACAAAATCCTTTGCCCTTGGCTCATTGGATATTTGCTTTTATAGTGAACATATTCTCCGATGTATTATGTGTCTCAGGTAGTTGCTCAATGCTTCGAAGAACACTCACCATCTTGAACTAAGCACGTTTTCTGTGCCTCTTTCAGTTTTTCCAACCACGATGACGCCATGTTGTTTATTGGATACTGCGGAGTTTCCATACTCCAGTTCTAGAGAGTTCTTTGTTTACAAAAGTTTCAACCACGTGTTGCAACCTGTCAAAATTATGTTTTCGAAAGGATCAGCCAATATCTACCGTAGACCAGTGGATTGGTAATAGACAACATGGATATAATTAATATTATTGATAATTGATGAGAATATGACCGAATTAGGGATGTTTTGTTATTTACTGAGCACCATATTAGAGTTACCCCTCTTACTACACTAAACGTGTCCTCATGCTTTCATTTCCTTGCTATATAGTGAAAGTAAACTTTTGTCAGGCAAATGTACGTTATTCATCATCGCTCAAATGGATTTCAATAAGACTTTAGTGGTGGCCGAATGTTTTTGTTGTTCTTTTTAAAACATTTCTATCAGCTGTTCATACGTATAAGCTTCAATAGTGGTAGTTATTATCATAAACGCTATTAATTACAGACTCGATCCATAGTCAATCGCCACTTCGTTAGTCTCCTAAATGAGGTATTATCATGCATCCCAGCAGTATATTAGATACTCACAGCCAAAACGCCACAGGTCTCGCTCTCAGTTTCGCACTCCACACAATTACAATTCAATCATCTGTACAGTTCCTATAACTGGAGCAATGCATAATTTAATTTTTCGTGGAGGAATCTACCGTTGCAATGCAAATAATTTCTCAGTATTCTCGACTGTATAGTCAGTTATTTTTGTCAAAATTATTTCCGTACATTAAACGGAATGTACATACTGTGAATGTAGAATGTTTGTTGTTTCAACACCTGATGCATATACATACAACAGGGAAACGAATAAGAAAAAAATACTTTCCACCGATACTGGGATTTGTAGGCCATACTCGATATGCAGCTGCATTGCTTTATACAATGTCTTCCCTCCGGTTCTTGAATTCATTTCGATCGTATTTTTAATTACTATTTTTGCGTACGAATTTGTGCGTTATTTTAAATCGAAGTGGTTCTTAATGTTTTGGGGCTATTTTTAAATCACGCTATCCAGTTTTGCTCGCGTCTTTTAAGGCAGACGTTTTCATAGTATAACTGGCCATGGCGTACCATAACTACAGAATATGAGGCCATGTGCACTCTCTGAATATATCACAGGAATTACGAATATGGGAATAACCGGCAAAATATTAAAATCGAGAGATTTTAATTAGCCTAAGGATATAAATTTATTCAATATGTTTTTGCACTGCATTTAAATACAACTGAGTCTGGTTAGAACTTGTGACTTTTAATATGAGCAACCCACAAATGAGAAAAACGTAAATGTCGAAGAGGCCTATATAAAATGAAGAAAGTTTGTCAAACTGTTTATTCAGTTTCCTTAAAGCATCTCAGGTGAAAGATATCAATTTATTCATAATTTATTTGTGACATAAACATATATAGCTGCGGTCCGTTATCCTATTTCATTGCACTGAAAATACTTTACTTTTATACCCGACATTGATCTGTATTAGAAGCGATCTATATATGACTTGCTTCTTATAACCAACCCATATTTATCCTTGGCATTAACGTATTTTCTGAGACTAGATATTGACAACCTCGCTTATTTCACGTAACGGTTTGTCAATCAATATTTATGTTAATTTCAATTTCCCGCCATCAGGGTCAAGGTTGGGAATGGCATTGCTATCCCCGCGAGCTTTGTTCACTACTTTCAGAGAAAAAGAATAAAATTGAACAGATTAGGTGTATCTACCAACAATCAGTTTCAAGAAATGGATCGAATTTCTAAAAAAAGAGGTACGACGCTTTTTGACACTCGGCCAAATTGCATTCAATCGACAATCGGGTGTGCAGCTTAACTCCGCCCTGATTGGTTGAGTGACAGATGACGTCACCGTGCATTCACCGACATAGCTGCATGGGAGCTGCACGTCGGGCAGGTGTTTGATGGCGAAACCTGACTGTTAATGGTGAAAATCTGCGTCCAAAGGGTCGCATCAAAGTAGAAGTGAGTATTGGCCCCCCAATACTTTATTTAGTTGGATGTTATGCGACAACTATCCTCCCATTGTGCTGTTTCCCCTCACTGAACCACTTCCATTCATCTGCTTAGAGGAACTGCTCTATAAATAGACCAATGTGTGTCAATGCGCTTTCTGAGAGCTGCACACTAAAATTTGAGACCCCACAATGTGGCAGATTTTGTTTCAAGAGAAATAATTACTGCTTCCTGTTTCAGAAGCTTAGAACAGAGTTATCAAGCTTGAGATTTCATGTGTTGTCAGGATATAATTGTTTAAATGAAAACCATGTATTTCACTTATCAAAAGAAAATGACATTAAAAGGCACTTAGTTTGATTGATTAGGTTTCAAATGTACTTTTTTTCCACAGTTAGGAATGCACATTAATTTCTAGACTGTCAAGTGAAAGTTTCCACCTTAATATATGTATCCCTCTTTACTTTGTGAAAGTGTGTTATGTCACTCAGAAATCATCTGCACTTCAGTGACATGTGAGACTGCCTTGTCAATTTGAGGCATCTTTGTGGAGGGTCACCTTGACATGCTGTCATATGAAACATTTTGCATTGTTAGGTAATACATAAAGTAGCAGAATATGAGGTCTACATGGCGTCATGGTGATGTACAAGTGAGTGTATCACGCCATGCAGACCAGTTGGTCAATAGTGATCAATGCTATTTTAATTTTGATAGACGCAATAACCTAACCTGATCACTTTTATTTTCATACATACAAGGTTTAAGATGGGTTAATATTTTTATCTTTTGTCTAAGTTTCTTGGTCAATGACAGATTGTGGCTATTGAATATGCCTCGTAAGATCCATATAAAATGTATATTGTAACGATTATACATATGTATAAATCTCCTTGAAAATCTTAAATAACCTGATAGGGGTGTTCATGATTGGAAATATTATAATTATATGATTAACAAGATTATGTTATATCGGTTTCAGTTAATCACCCTCAATAAATGTACGTAATGCAAGAGTAAATTAGGCTGATCAATTGAATTGTATTAAATGAATTTCGATTGTCACATGACAAAGTGCAACATGGCAAATTTGCAAAACATACCCACGCATCCATCAATCCTGCACAAGCGTGCACACACTGAAGACCCGGGTTTGATTCCCACATGGGTACAATGTATGAAGTCCATTTCTGGTGTCCCCCACTGTGATATTGCTGGAATATTGCTAAAAGCAGCATAAAACCAATCTCACCCACATCATACCAAAAGGGGGGCGGTAGCTTGGGTTTAAAGCGTTTGCTCGTCATGCCAAAGACCCAGGTTCTATTCCCCACATGGGTACAATGTATGAATCCCATTTCTGGTGTCCCCTGCCATGATATTGCTGGAATATTGCTAAAAGCGTGTAAAACCATACTCACTCACTCACCCCTTGTTAAACTGTACCAGGATGTCAGTCAGGCTGGCACTGAAAAACAGGAATTATTCCATACTAATGCAAGAATCCACACACATCACTATATGAGGGAGATAATCTCGACTGTGACTTTGACCCCCATTTCACATCACCTAGTTGCTAGTACAGGGTAAAGATTTGTTATCTTCTTGTCTGTGAGCCGAGCTGCCACCGTATACAAATATTCAAATACATTTGCAGTGGTAGCAGATATTGATGAGCCACCTATATGCATGGCTAGCTTTGAAACCAGTTTTAGCCTCGTGACTTTTAAGAAATGAAATGAAACATGTTTTTGTCATCAGTGCGCGACATATTGAAAAGTAATGTGGTCCAAAGTCTCTATCTTATGCCTGGCTTGAATCCCCAGGAACTTGTGTTTAAAGTTTGTTAGGAGTTTTTGTCATTTTTCATGGAGTTCATCCTGTGTTCATTGTGTCAATCACTGGATTGTCTTGTCCAGACTGGATATTTTACTGGAACTTTCAGACTGCTGCATCCAACAATCAAACAAATAACAGGCTAAGCATCAAGAACCGGAACTGGTGTACCCTGAAACTGCAAACTGCAACCTTAATTTTATACTAACTTGCACCCAGCGCATGCCAATAGTTTGCTGTTCAAATAACGAAGACTTCAGCTGGAGAACAGAATGATGATGAACTGGCTTGGAGCAGGGATTGCGATCTCTTCATGAACATAGGTTGAATGACTTTTACACAGACTTCAGCTGGAGAACAGAATGATGAACTGGCTTGGAGCAGGGATTGCGATCTCTTCATGAACATAGGTTGAATGACTGTTACACAGACTTCAGCTGGAGAACAGAATGATGATGAACTGGCTTGGAGCAGGGATTGCGATCTCTTCATGAACATAGGTTGAATGACTGTTACACAGATTCAGCTGGAGAACAGAATGAAGATGAACTGGCTTGGAGCAGGGATTGCGATCTCTTCATGAACATAGGTTGAATGACTGTTACACAGATTCAGCTGGAGAACAGAATGATGATGAACTGGCTTGGAGCAGGGATTGCGATCTCTTCATGAACATAGGTTGAATGACTGTTACACAGATTCAGCTGGAGAACAGAATGATGATGAACTGGCTTGGAGCAGGGATTGCGATCTCTTCATGAACATAGGTTGAATGACTGTTACACAGATTCAGCTGGAGAACAGAATGAAGATGAACTGGCTTGGAGCAGGGATTGCGATCTCTTCATGAACATAGGTTGAATGACTGTTACACAGACTTCAGCTGGAGAACAGAATGATGATGAACTGGCTTGGAGCAGGGATTGCGATCTCTTCATGAACATAGGTTGAATGACTGTTACACAGACTTATGACAGAATGATGATGAACTGGCTTGGAGCAGGGATTACGAATTCATGAGGTTGAATGACTGTTACACAGACTTCAGCTGGAGAACAGAATGATGATGAACCAGGGCTCGACTTTGTTACTTGCACTGGTGCAACAGCAATCTAGCTATTAGCTGAACTTCTGCACCTGGTGCAACTTATGGGTAAACTCACAATAAAACATCTAAATAATTAAATACCATATTTCTTACATTACATATTGCAATAAAAGCAAAAACTGGAATTTGACTGGTGCAACTATGTAATCTTAGGTTGCACCTGGTTTGTAGGTTAACATCTCTTAAATCGAGCCCTGTGAACTGGCCATCTGTTACTGTTCATGTTATGAATTTTTATGAAGTGAGAAAAAAAGAGCTTATCAGACCCAGAAAAATTCTATTATGATTCTGTTCTAATTCATCAATATCAAAATCCAAGCATAACATGTAATTATATTTTGCACTGCCATCTGTGTCTGGTGCAACAAGGTTATTACTGTTTCCAAAGTTTTCCATAAATTAAGTCATGCATAGCTTTTGTTGATTATTTTGAGGTCTGGCAGGGCAATGTCCAGATGATTAACTCTTAAGGCCCAATTGGATTTACTTTGGTCAATGTATTTGTGAAGCTTTAGGATTCCTTTATTTGTGAGGCTTTAGGACTCCTGTATTTGTGAAGCTTTAGGACTCCTGTATTTGTGAAGCTTTGTGGACTCCTTTAGGACTCAGGACTCATGTGTTTGTGAAGCTTTAGGACTCATGTATTTGTGAAGCTTTAGGACTCTGTGTATTTGTGAAGCTTTGTGTATTTGTGAAGCTTTAGGACTCCTGTATTTGTGAAGCTTTAGGACTCCTGTGTTTGTGAAGCTTTAGGACTCCTGTATTTGTGAGGCTTTAGGACTCCTGTGTTTGTGAAGCTTTAGGACTCCTGTATTTGTGAAGCTTTAGGACTCCTGTATTTGTGAAGCTTTAGGACTCATGTATTTGTGAAGCTTTAGGACTCAGTAATAGATTTTTCAAGGGCAAGGCATTAACAGGAGAATGTATAATGTACATCCTGGGTATTGCTGTATTCTTCATGTACACTGTGTGCCATATAAGATGTTATTGTATATACTCGGTGTGCCCTGCAGCATATCTTCTTTGTATATACTGTATGCCATATAAGATGTTATTGTATATACTCGGTGTGCCCTGCAGCATATCTTCTTTGTATATACTGTATGCCATATAACATATTATTGTATATACTCGGTGTGCCCTGCAGCATATCTTCTTTGTATATACTGTATGCCATATAACATATTATTGTATATACTCGGTGTGCCCTGCAGCATATCTTCTTTGTATATACTGTATGCCATAAAACATATTATTGTATATACTCGGTGTGCCCTGCAGCATATCTTCTTTGTATATACTGTATGCCATATAACATATTATTGTATATACTCGGTGTGCATATCTTCATTGTATATACTGTATGCCATATAACATATTATTGTATATACTCGGTGTGCCCTGCAGCATATCTTCTTTGTATATACTGTATGCCATATAACATGTTATTGTATATACCGGTGTGCCCTGCAGCAAATCTTCTTTGTATATACTGTATGCCATATAACATATTGTATAAACACTGTATGTCCTACAGCATATCTTCTTTGTATATACTGTATGCCATATAACATATTATTGTATATACTCGGTGTGCCCTGCAGCATATCTTCTTTGTATATACTGTATGCCATATGATATAACATATAAATGTGTACACTGTATGACATGTGTCATATCCTCTTTGTATACACATTGTATGCCTTACAGTATATGCTCTCTGCACTCACTGTGACACACAGTATGTCATCTTTGTATACACACTGTATTCCTACAGAATATCCTCTTTGTATGCACTGTAAATGCACTATCTGCCATACACTATATCCTCTCTACACTCACTGTGCCACAGCATATCTTCTTTGCATACAGGGAGCACAGGTGACACAGCCATCTATGACATTTCAGTTCATTGAGTTGCGTCCCTTGTATACTCCAGAAGCCTAGGCCAAACAAAAACAATGTTGTGGTTCTGATTACACCTCTTTAAAATTTAGGGTAGGTAGGTAAGAATTCTTTTTTTCACTTTTTTTATTTAGAAGTAAAGTATGAACAAATAATACAT